CTTTCCAAGGACTACGAGTTTTGTTACTCCCCGTGTGTGGAATTCTAGTGTTTTGAAGTTTACCCACTGGCATTCTGTCAGATTATCCTAGCAATCTACGACAACCCGTCTATATAATGCTGGGTAGAGAGAGGCACTGCGAAAGCAAAGTACCTCGTCCATAATGATCTCAGTTCGCCCCGAGTCGAGATCTCTACCTCTGGCGCATGGCACCCCGGGAAGAAGTACCACCAAATATCGCAACCTCTCCATTATAATTCAGCAAAACATTTTTACTTCAAAAAGCAATTTAGACTACTGCGTTAAACATTATCCTAAGACTAAACAACTTACCGGCGCTGCATAAAAGAATAGAGCCACCAAAGCCACTAAAAGGACGATCACAAGGAACGCGATAATTTTCCATTTGAACCGGCGCCACAAGATGTACCGCAGGCTCTTGAAAGGAGAAGAGAACCAGGCGAAAGATGTCGCTGGACGACTGTAAAAAAAGAGGTTCTTGGTCACTGTCACGCCCACAGAGGCTCATGGGGAGTTTGGCGAGAAAAAAAATCCGCTAGCTAAAGTGAGTGCAGGTGTAAGCAGTCAACTGCAATCACCTCGCTCAGCGGACGTCTTTGCAACTCTCCCCGAGCCACCGCCGAAGAGAAAGGCAGCATTATGCGTTGTTACAAGATCGTGGGTGTTCGTGTTTGGTTCGATGGGATGAGAATGAATTTGGAGGGAATGCTCTGGGTAAGATACCTTTGAGTGATCTTTCGATTTAAAGGAGAAAAAAAAGAAATGATGTACTGTTTAGTAACCTACTGGTGAGCTTAGGGTGTGACATCCTTACAAACCACTGACAATAGGCTCTCTGCAGAAAACTGGGAAACATGACTAACATGAGTGTACTTTAGAGCGGTTTTCAATTGAGTGTCGAAAGTAATTAGGCAATCATGACTTTGGTTTTGATTTTGGTTTTACTACGGTTTGAGATTGGCCCCAGAGCGGTCGTAAACCAAAACCAAACCAATCACGTAGCAACTAGACTACTCAGCCAATCTCACATCGTAGTAAAACCAAAACCAAAACCAAAGTAATTGCCTGATTACTTTCGACACTCCCCCCTCTCTCCGCTCTACTCACTTTGGTGGATCAAGAGTTGGATTCAGGTTTGGTTCATCTCTTCCGCTCCCAGCAGGCTTTTCTTCAGCTTCTTGTTGCGTCAACAACTCTAACGTCATCTCGAACTTACCCTGCACAGGAAACACATGTGCTGTAATTACTAACAAAGATACCGACAGTTCTAAGAATACTGTGATTTTGCTCGGGTATACATAAGGGGAGTGTGAGCGCAAGGAAAAAAGGTCTTGTCTTTTCAACTCGTACTTTCTAATCCCTGAGCAAAGAACCCGAGGATTGACTACTTTGGTCCGGTGTTATATGACACGTTACAATTTTCTTACGGGATGGAGGCAGTTATCTTTAAAACGACTTAACCAAAATACCTTAGAAGTTCATTTCGTAATAGCTTCTTCTGGTCGTTCAGTTTGTTGGGGCGTAGCGTGAAAAACGCTGAGCGATAAAACAGTAGCTCTCTCCTCGCACCAAGCCCCTCTCTCCTTTTTCTCATGCCATTCTTCGCGCTGAACCCCAACCAGCCAGACTGTTAGTTGCAAATTATTGACTCTTTCTATTACCAGACCTAGGGTTTCACGTGATCTGCGATGTATGCAAATATACATTACATATCGAGTGACTCACCGCCAGTATTTGTTGTCCATCGTCCGTTCCTACTGCAGGCCACCAACCATTCGTTCGCTTGAGATCAAACAAGGACACAGTCTCTACGTTCCGTTTAGAATGTTCTCCCACTACAGGAAGTTGATGAAGTCCACACCTGCGGGCATTCTTGGCTGGTTTTGGTATTTTGTTTAAATTTATTTCGAGTTGACCTTGCAAAGGAAAGATAACGAACGTAGAGTTACCTAATCGGAGACAACTGAAACGCGCTTCGCCATTTGTCGAACGTTTAACATCTTTTTGTTGGCTTCCTTGTGACTCGACCAATCTAAACCATGCAGGTCTCCAAGGAGGGAAAATTAATTTGCATGAGCGATTCCTGGCTCAGTGATTGGCTAAGAGGTTTAGAAAACTTGTCCGAGTGGTACCTCGTTCATCACAAGCAGCGAGATTAGTTTTTTCCTAAGAAAAGCCAACTTAGAAAATGTGTCTGGCTTGAATCCGGCCCGGAGTGAAAGGGTTAAAGCTAATGATAAAACACTTATGATAACGAGGAAGAGAGTGTTACCAAGGAAGTCATCTGGTGAGAACAGGTCGTTATCCCAAATTTGAAGAATCAGCTTGGGGGGAATTCTCTGCTCTCTGATGTCCAGGCTCCAAAAGTGCGCCTACCAAATAAATATGGAAAAAAAAAAAAAAAATGTAGAGGTTTTAACCTGTTGGGCAAAGACAAGACCTCAAACATAAGGGATAGTTTTTTGACAGTCATTGCGCTTTACAAGTATTTAAAGGCTACATCGCAAACTTGCTTTTGGCAAAACTGCACTTCAATTTTTGTAGATTTTATTCGCTTTCTAAGCTCGGCAAACGGTTAAAAAAGTTTCCAAATAACCCTCCTTTTACATTCTGATTTTCGCCTCCGGCCTTCTGTAATACATGTAACTGTTTTCTTACATAAAACAACTGTTCACTCCAGGCTCAGTAAAGAACGGATTCAATATCCACCGATATTTACCTTCTGTAAGGTAATTAACTGCTGATTATCACACACCTTTTTCCTGACTACCATGACCTTTTCAGCTGGAATGTACAAGAACGGAAATAGGAATCGCCAGTTGAAGTTGCCTGTACCGTCCAGAGATCTGTCATGGATAGCGATAAAAAAATCAAATGAATAAACAGACAGAAAAACAAACACACAAACAAACAAACAAACAAACAAACAAACAAACAAACAAACAACTGACGAATGAACACAGAGTGTTAATGAGCCTCTCTAGATGTGCACAGACCTGTAATGGACATCGGTCTTCTCTTGCTTATCAATTCCGGACATCCAGCTGCAACCCAAACAAACATCACCACGCTGATGAGTTTACATGATTGAGGTGTTGTTATAGCATTTATATAAGTCAAATTATTCTCACATTTTGATTGGTTCTTACTTATGATCAATTAGAGGACAAACACAGAGATATTTCTTTATTATATAAAACAAGTAAATTCCATGCTGCCGTGAGCCTACTCAGTAATTGATCACAGGAGACGTCAAAATGTGGTAAGAACATCAGTGACACAGTCCGCTATCGCCTCGTGTACCACTTTTTTGTTCTAACTACCATTTGACGTCATCTGTGATCTATTACTGAACAGACGCAGGGCAACTTGGAATCTATTTGTTAAATAGAAAACGACGAGAGAACCAATCAGATTCGTGGATTTCCAATAGAACACAGCTAAGTGGCTACTAATACAAAATAAACCAAAGTGTAAAATTTTCTAAACACCCAAAACTTGTCAAAAGTTTACGACATGAGCCGGTCAAAAATTGGCGAGAATTTTTGGGACGCTTGACGAAGTCTGCGCACAAATAGAAAAGTTAACTATTAAATATACGGTTTTCAGCAAGAGACCGACACCTATTCGTAGCATTTCGACCACGGCAAACAAGTGAGTCACGTATTCGTCTTCTAGAGAACGATTACTTTTCATAAAATGTGATTAACATGTTAGGGTTTATTTAGTTTTTGGCCTGACAAATGCATGCTACACAAGTGTATTAACGTTACTTAAAGTTTAAAAAAATACCAACTGTTGTATTTACCCTTTGACATAAATATCACTCATGGCCTCACCCATCACCGATACCTCCTCTAGAATGACGTCACTGGTGTTCCAGATGATAACACGTAACATGTATCTGAGTGTGAATACAATTTACATGGATACAGGTTAGCCAATCAAATAAGAGCTTTTGAATCGTACATTCGGGCGGTTTCATTTGTTGCCAGTAGAGATGTACCAGGGCTGAAGACAAATCAAGGCTCCAGTCGTCCGGGGTAAGTAGTTTTTCGTGTCGGGAAAGTAATTTTTTATTCTCACTTGACCATAGACAAGGGCGCAGGCAAGTCGTCTGCCAACTATATCAAAATAAAAATCAAGCAAGATTTGCCCAGGGCAAGCAAAATTTGAGAGCTGCTTGTTCGAAGGGCAAACTGAAATTCAAGTTTTTTTCGAGCCCTGAAGTACTATTTAGTACTAGGCGATTCTCACTTGTAAGTCTGTGTATGAAGCCCTTTTCTGTGGCTAAATAGAAACTTATTGATTAATACATGCATGTAGTGGAGTTTGTTTATCAATACTTCGCGAAATGAGATTTAACTGAAGACGTATCGAGCAACGTTCAAAGCCGACAAAAGTTAAACTTACTCTCCTGGTTCTCTTGGTGATATATTAAAAGGCATTCCTGGAGGTCCATAATCTTTCGGGAAAATGTCTACCCACATCAGAAGTTTTCCCTGGATGCATAAACAAATTCTGAGTCAGTTCACGAAATGACCTTCCCCACAACGGACGGAACGCGAGTCTTTCTGTGTACCGTTTGCTATAATGGGGTTGCAAGGCAATTGACTCAAGCGTGTGTTGGCTGGGCAATTTCTCTTGCAACTTGTGTGCAGAGAAAATTTTCCAGTGTAAAGTCATCGACTTGAGTTAGTTAACAGATCACAAACCTGTTCTATTCCAGGCTGCAGTGTGTTGTACAGCGGTCGTGTTTCCACGTGTTCCGGCACCAGCGGCAGGCCGTTGAGCACGTGCAAAGCAAGACGTTGATCAGGGGGACCCAGGTGAGGAGACAATGTCATACCAGCCTCTAAAACCAAGTTATACAAACAAATAAAAAATCGAAAGGAAATACCAGCTATGAATACATCCGTAACTTTACAAAAAATAAAGAGGCCCTTCTTACAGTGGATGCCAACCTACCAAAATCCTCCAAGCAGAATTCATCGCCATGGAAGATCACTTTGTCGTTTCCCAAAAATCTTGGTTTAAAGAAATTGTTGACCTCGCAGTACTTCTCCAGTATCTGTCTTGGTGTTCGCGAGTCGCGCCACTTGTTAATGCCAGAACTGAAATAATTTGTAGAGCAAATCATTAAAAATCTATAGAAGCAGGCAGTTAGGAACACCGTCCATCAACAATCTAAAAACATTAGAATTCCAAGAAAGCAAGCACTTCAGCTTCGATGACAATCACTGGTCTACCTACAAAAAGTCTGCCCCTTTAAAACGAAGGGTGGCCCTTTGTAGACTTTGTGGCCTATTGTTTGTCTAATTAACGGTGTTGTGGTTTAAACACTGGGTCAAGACATTTTTGCTTTGAGCCCGCTTGACAACCAAATGTATTAATGAGATACCTTGCAAAAAAATACGATGCCGATACCCTTTCACGTTAATTTGACTTAAAATTCCACCCCTTTCGAGGATACGTCATTCTACAGCCCGAGTGGGTTTGATGCCAACGACCATGCTCTCACGTTTTGCAAAGCAAAAACACTTACGTGTTGTAGGTCTGCGGAAGACCACAGATGGCTCCAAACTTGGTCAAAAATCGATTCTCCAGATCAACTACTGTCTCACCAATCTTGTCATCTTTACCAATCAGATCATAATCCATGACAGTGATACATAAATCCTTCGATATAGGAACGTGGGCCGTCAGTTCGAACATCCTAAACAAACGAAGCAAAGTGTTATAGAAGTACTTCAGACCCGGACAAATGCAACATTTCTAACAGTACTGTACTGCAAGGTGTGAAACGTAATAAACTATCTATCTACCCAACGCTTAAAACAAGTATTATTTTCACAATTATGCAACCAAAATCAAGTAGCCAAGAAGGAAAACCGTAGTACTTTTGCTTTCAGAAAAATAAGGAAAACAAGGTATAGAAGGTCGCGTTTGGGTTAGAAATTAGATAGCCAAAGGTAAGCAGAAAATGGCGCGAAAATTCGCACACAATAGACGCGCGTTAAAATTGTTGTAAGGCACGCTGATTGCGACAATTTCAGGGATGGACATATGATGTTTAAACTTTAAGAAATTACGCGCAATGTTGCATCGAGTGTCTGTACCTTAAAGGAGCTCAGTCACGGTATTTTCAGCTATTTTGGGCACGTAGAAAATTACCTTTAAATTGAAGGAAACCTGAAAATAATAGGTTATTAAAATAGGAAAAGACCAAAGCGATAAACCATAAAAGACCCAGGATGGTTAAGGATGGAGAAGATTAACACGGATTACAAACGACGAACTTGAAAAAATTGAGGCTAAACTTTTCAAGACGCGCAAACTGTGACGTAGCTCCTTTAATTAATAAAGAATAAAGACCCAACCGATATTTCCTCATTGTAGACGGAAAAAATGGCAGTACAAGTTGGACGACACGATGGTTGTTGGTCAGGTACAAGGAGTTGTTACTTACTTTCCAAAAAGAGGATTCAGAGTGTTAGGAATGTATTTGTCTTGATCTTTGATCTTGGTCTTTCCAAGAGACACGACTAAGTACGGATCAGCCTGCAGGGAAATAAGGACCGAATTGAGACTACTGGTCACTTAAATATACGTGACTAAACATTACATACACTATAACGTCTAAATGTTTGGTTTACTTTCCAACTTGCAAAGCAATGGGACAAATGAGAGAAATTTGAACAAATAATACTTACAAGTCCATTGGGGTCCATGGGCTGAAGATCAATTGCCTGAACAGTGAAAGAAAATGAATTACCTTATTATAGGAAATTAACGCGACTTAAATTAACGCGAATTGAAGATAAATTTGCTTCCAAATAACGGAAATTAACGCGAGAGAGGGGGCAAAATTTCAAAATGGGGGAAATTAACGCGTCTGCTACACCACAAAAAAAAAGCAGAATAGGAACCAATTTATTTTAACACTGTAAAGCTGACAGCGAACACGAACAAAATTCAGTTGAAGTACAGTAAACGATTTACTAATGTGAAAGAATGATGTGAAATGTAAAGTGCGCGAATAAAATTTATTGTTTGGCTGTGTCGAGAATGTCTGGAGTGTGTCACAGATTCGGAGAAAAATAATGGTAATTAACGTCGTGGAAATTAACGCGCAACTTAATCAACAGCGCGGAAATTAACATTAACATAAATTAACGCGACTTAAATTAACGCGAATTTCAAAAATTCGCGTTAATTTCACGAAGCGTTCATTTCCTATAATAAGGTAACTCTCGAATTAGGTGGTTAGGATTTTTTTTCCAAGGGAAAGAAATTACAAATTTCTTGAAATTCGCGACCCACACCTCAAAGGTTCACCTCAATTCTACAACATGACTTTGAGTGGCGTAGGGGAGATCAGTTCAAAGGTTGACCTCAATTCTACAACATGACTTTGAGTGGAGTAGGGGAGATCAGTGCTTTCCCCTTTTCCCCCAACAAGGTTTTGTCCGATACACGAACGCACATATTTATTCTACAACACTACATGTATTTGGTGGTAGACACCTATTTCTACTTTGATAGCTAAGTACCAATGACGAATTGATTTGCACTTGCGGTCGAAGGTGAAGTACATAAATGCAGACCATTTCTGTCCTATAAAACTGTCCCTAAGAATTTTGCCGGTTATGCCTTAACAGTTTGCAAAATACCCATTGAAATAACTAGATAAAGAAAATGTAAGCATTGCTAAAAAGGTATAATGTGTCTATGACCACACGTGAAGGACTCACCTTGATAATATAAACCCTGACCAGACACTCCACAGGCTCACTTGGAGGTAAGTTTTTCAAGATGCGGGGAGGAAAAGGAAGGTTAGGGTCACTAGGCAACGGGTACACATGAAATGAACCCTGAAACAACAACGATACAGATTCAGTCACAAAATTCGTCTGTCTGTCTGTATGTCTGCTTGTTTATTTACAGTCTCCACACTTAGCACAGCAATACTAAACCCACCGACACTAACATAAAGTTATTTGGAGGTCGAAAAGGCCGGACCGAGTGCAGCGAGGTTTGTTCTCTCCATCCGTCCAATCACTCGTCCTGACTCTGAATCAATAAGCTTCAGGTAAAAATTCTTCTAAATAAAAGTCTAAAACTGTTCAAATGTTAGTTCTGGGAATTTGTCAGTGCATCACGAAAATATGGCTAACGATCTCGTTGTTGGTTTATTCTCTACCAATCAGACTTAAAACCAAAACTATCAGCTGTTGACCTTCTTTTGGTCAGTTACATGTCTTACATGTAACTGATCATAAGAAAGTGTTACATGTTTTACATATAACTGATTATATTTAATTATCTAGTTATTTTTGTGCAAAACAAGAACGTTAAAATGGAGTTGAACGATGACAGTTACACGAAACGTTCCCATCAACTCCGCCGAGTATGAGCCTAACGATAAAACACTCTTGATGACGAGAGTGCACACCAAGCGAGAGAGCGAGAGTTTGACCTTTCGTTCTCCTTTTTTCCAGTCCTTACAGATTGTTTACATTATATTGCACTGTTTTTTGTACCTTGAACTCGCCCACAACCGTCGCCTCCTCTCCTGGTTTCACTTTTCCACGATAAAGATCAAACGTCTTGACTAAGTCTTGAAACTTTTCATAGACCTCTACGTTTTCCAGCTCTTTATCGTAAACCTAAACATTGAACAGTTGTTATACTTTACTCCACTGATAGACCCACACATACACTCTCCCATGTAACCGTTATTCAGCTCCTTGCTTTCGAGGTTGGGAGAATTTCTTCAACACATCAGATAATTCCCCTTGAAGAAAAGTTCTAATTCCACGTCGAAATGAAGAGCGAACCTTGACCAAATAAAATAGTTTTTGATTTGAAAAAGAGGAAGTAACTCAACGTATCACACACGACCTGTGAGATCCAAAGAAAAAGATAATTTCTAATGTGCAGGAAATTTAACAGGTATTAAATTAGTTCAAGGTTTAAAGGGACACTGTCACCACTTTAAGCATGATTTTGGAAATCTCAAAAACAAATATCGATCACTGGAAGTTGAACAATAATGGTTTTATTTTATTAGAGCAGTACTCGACATTAATGATTAGACCCCATTAGGAAGTGAGGATGGCTAACGCTGGCAAGGATAGAAACGGATTGCATGCGATATAGATTTTTGAAAAAGCGTCAGGATGTCAGTTTTTCAAAGCTTCAAAATCGTTGAAATTTTGTGGACTTTCTTCAAGAAATTGCTTTTAATCATTTAGTCAGAGCTAATTACGTTCTTATTACATACATTTAGGGACCATTTCGTGAATTTGTAACAGTTTCCAACAAATATATCCTGACAGTGCTCCTTTAAGTGAGAAGTCGAAAGTGTGGCACCTTTGCTGAAGTGTTTTTAGTTAGCGGCTACATTGACTGCTAGCTTTCGCCTTGATGAAAATTGAAACCACAACAGGTCGTTGTCGTTGTCATGACAATGCGAGAGTGACACAACCAGATTTATTTCAAAGACAAACGTTCACACAAAAACGATAGTCTTACTAGGATCTTGTCGTAACCACGTTCTATGTAGTCTCCGCTTTTATCATAGTCACCAATGGAGGCGTAATATTTGGACCACCAGTCAATGTCCTCCTCTATCAACTCCTGTTGACGAAAACAAACAAAGATCTCACGCTTAAGTAACTAGCTATCGTCTTTGATAATTTAATTACGCAGTGAAACGATTGACAACAATAAATACTCAAATATCGATTAGGTAACATTTCAACAGGTGTCTCACCGCTTTCTCTTTGTCGTCAGTGATATCAATTAAAAAAGATCCAGCATCTTCATCCTTTCCCGCATCAGCTGAACAAATAAAAGGTAAATGTATCATTTATATATCTCTTCATTCCAGGTAATACTTTGTAGTCCATCAGACTGTAAGCAAACTCTAAAAATCATTCATTATAACTTGTTCTGAAAAAGTTTATTTGCACCTGTCTGGAGTAGAGTCTACCCACTCTCTCCCCTCCCCTCCCCTCCCTCCCCATCACTAACTCAATAAGTAACTTTCCTTTCTCAGGACGTTGTATCGTTTTGAGGGAAATTTGTACAAGAACAGTCCCACCTAACAATGTGTAAATCCTGGCAGGAAATAAAACGTCACCCTTCCCAGGCCTCGCTCACCCGGGAAGAAAAGTCAGTGGGAAGACTTGGGAAGACTAAACTACGACCACAAGGAGCAGTGGCGAGCGCCCGCGATGTTCTGCAACTAATCGGTACTTCATACTAATACCAACCTGTGTCTTCACCATAATCAACCTGGTCCAGCGGTAAACACCTGTAGGGCTGCAGTGACTTTATACAGTGAACTCCGACAACAGGTCGACGACCAAATGATCGGTTATCTCGCACTTTGATGTTCATTGGTGGAGTGTAGAGCTCTTCCTTTGGAAGATACTGAACGAAGGAACACAAATTAGAACTATCTGGTATTAGTAGAATTCTACCGGTACACTGATGCAAATGATGTAATCTGATTGGCTACGCTACTCACTATCTATTTTGTTGTAGATAGTGAGTAGCCTAGCAGTGTGCGGTTGTTAAAAATGACCGTTTCTTGGCCTTTTCGAAGTGTCTGTGAAGAGGATTTAGATTAAACTTTGAACGACTAGTAGATTTATGCTAAAACAATTAGATTATTCGCTCTCGATTTCTATGCGTGATAGTTGACTCTGGCTGCGCTCTCGTCAACTAAAACGCGATAGAAATCTCGAGCTCATAAGTAATTGTTAATTAGATAGTGAGTAGCTTAGCAGTGCGCGGTTGTTAACAAAATGACTGCAGCTTCTTTGCGTTTTTGAAGTGTTGATGAGAATGTAGATAAAGGTTTGAACGACTAGTAGATTTATACGAAAATAATCAGATTGTTCCCTCTAGATTTCTTGAATCTTTCACTCATAGTCTTAACTGTTGTAATTAATTATAACAACTATTTTTCTAAGCCTACGCGATCAGTATGGCAGCCATGTTGGTCTCGACGGCAAAAGAAGAATCTATCACTCGTGCTAGAAGGGTCGGACTGCTAGCATTTTTTCAGCTTTCCTAAACGCACAGTGTTAATGTTTCGTACCTTTGGGCAAGTCAAAATGTTTGAATCACGCTGTTCTGGGCGATTTTATGCCACGATAAAAGAAACTTTGAGTAGCGAAAAGTATTAATTGGTTTTACACCACTATGCTACACGACTGACTTAAAAAACTCGCGCCACTTTTTTTTATCTAATCAAAAGTTAAAACAAAACCGATTGTGACTAGCTCGCAAACGTTTTTCTGCGCTTCGCGTCAGCTATAAGTCAGTATTACTGAAGTTTTCATTGGTTCAATGAATTGTGTGTATCCTTTGTAATTAGCCTGAGTGATTACTTTGGTTTTGTTTTTACGACACTCAGTCAAAAACTGATCTAGTTTACTAAGTTACATAAACACCAGAAACGTCAAGCAGACTTAAAAACCTTGCTTAACCTTTCCAGACCAGTCGTTCATAATGCAGCACCTAAGCACTAAGTTGTAAACAGGTCCTTACAGTGTCGAAGAAGAAGATTGGTTCATCAAAGTTTGGATTTCTATTCGTGTTCTTAATGACGGACGATTGGATCAAGTGACCTCCACACTCGAACTCGATACTCGGCGAGGAGACGTTAGCCAGTTGGAACTTCTTCATGTTTCGAACACCCCAACACAACACCTGCAATACAAAAATATGGAATTAAAAGACAAAGATTGGTTTGTGCGTCTTGAAAATTTCAGCATAAATTTTTCAAGTTCGTCGTTTGTAATCCGTGTCAATCTTCTCCATCCTTTACCATCCTTGTTTCTTTATGGTTTATTATTATCTCTTTAGTGTTTTTCTATCTTTATAAACTATCATTTTTAGGTTTCCTTCAATTTAAAGGTAGTTTTGTATGTGGCCAAACTAACTCCAAACTACCGTGACTGAGCTCCTTTAAGCTGAAAGAACATTCACCAGAGTCCCGATCAATAAATAGAGGAGAAACAATTCCACGATTTCGACCAGATATTACCTGGCGTCGTTTTCTAATATCCACCGAATGTTTTCGCAACACTCACCTCAATAGCTGTGCGCTGTACCGCGGGTCTGATTCCACTGGGTACAATGTACAGTGATGGTCTGTTTTCTTTGGTGGAAGGGAAGTAAGGCAAATCGGTTCCTTCGTCCTGTGGAATAAGGCAAAACAAACCTCATTCCGACTGGTATTTTCTAACGTAGAGTTTAAGTAGGTGGGAGGCGCAGTGGCCTCATGGTTAGTGCGCTCGTCTCCGGATCGAGCGGTCCGGGTTCAAGTCCTGACTGGGGACATTGTGTTGTGTTCTTGGGCAAGACACTTTACTCTCACAGCGCCTCTCTCCACCTAGGTGGAGATAAACGCCGGCCTGATGGGCCACTAGTCTTGAACGCGAACTTCACCTTACAGATACAGTAACACTGACTTACGGTCTTTGCTCCAGATCTTACCAGGAAAAGCTCGAACGCAACCAGAATCTCTCCGGCATCTTCCCGTCCCTTTTTCACCGGCTCCCATAACAGCCTTGGGGCAGGAGGCCCCTGACCTTTCAGTTTAACAACAGGAGATTCCACACAGCGACCCATGAACTCATCTTTACCCTGAAAAATAGCATCATACGTCTTAAATCTAAAAAAAACATAGCTTCAGCGGACATAAACTCAATAGAGTTCAAAGAATTTCCATTCCCAATTATTAGGAACACTTGTTCCCGGAAAACCTTCTTACATTAGTTCCACCTGTCCAGCTCTCTTAACAGTTATTTGTCACTTCTAGACTTGAAATGAGCTACAACACCTATTACACTCTTACCACAGGATCTCGATCAAACAATTCCAGAACGACACGAGGAGGCGACTTCTCCGTAATTTCAGGACTGCCGTAAATGCAGACATCCTCAAAGATAAGCGTCTGATCCCAGGTGGGGCACAGGGTGCGGTGAATAATCTCCGATACCTGACTCTGAGTGCCAAACGAAATGCGCACGTAAGGGTCTGAAACAGAACAAAGCAATACAAACCAATGTCAAATCAGTACCAACTAGGTTTAGTCTGTACTAACGGGGTTCTTTTAGTCACCTTCAATTTCATCTGTCCCTTTCGTCACTAGGTGTCACATAAGGCCTCTACAGAGCGCCTACATTCTTTTATGTCGGCTTCTGCTCTTCGTACTTCGTTCCAAGATTTCCAGCCCGGGGTTCTTTTAGTAAGTCACCTATATTCCATTTGACTCTCTCTTTAGACTACATAGACTTTATAAAGAGAGTTCATGAAAAATTCACTGTCTTAATTCAAGTCCGCCATAATTTGATCATTCTATGTTCTTGAGAACGACTACGAAAATGTAACGTTGTATAATGCACCTGCAAGGCCGTGTTTGGTGCTCATTACTGTTTCGTCAGGCTACATCGATTTTCGAAAGACAGTTCACGGAAAATGCACTGTCGTAATTCACGTCCGCCATAATTTGATCATTCTACGTTATTGGCAACGACTACAACAATGTAACATGATGTATAACGCACGTGCAAGGCCGTGTTTGCTGCTCATTAAACCATTTCTGGCTTAGCAATGTCCTTTAGTTAAACCGCCTATTTAGTTCTATCTTAGTATCATTTCCAGCCACATGTCACTCACCAGACAGTCCATCAGGATCAGATGGCAGCAGGTCACGCCCTTGGAACAAGTACACTCTCAGCTGGTATTTGTGCGCTTCTGTAAAACAACGACCAACACACACACACACATTTGTAGCAATGATTAGGGAGCGCTTCTTGCGGCGTACGATAACAAAATACCGTTTCAAAAGCAGAAGTTTGTTTTGGCCAATTCTTGGTCAATTGAGTTTAACGCCAAAATAAAAGAAACGCGTTTTGGGCGTTTAATGTAAGTTACTGAACTTCACTTAGTTTCATTCTTTGACGTCCACCCGATTTATCAAGACAGCGTTGACAAAAGTATCCATTAAGCAATAAAAGAACACATATACATCTTATTTATCAACTAACATATAGGCCTGAGGTCGTACGGAGACTCGTACAAAACGAGAGACAAAGTACCTGGTCCAATATCAGGCCAGAGCAATCTGGCGTAAAAATATTACATTGTTACATAGTTTGATATTTTAATTGAATAACTAACTGTTTTGTCTTTCGTCTTTTTAACCGCTAATTTAAAAGTGACACTAAGTAAACAATGCTGTATTTCGTTAGTTAATACATTCTTTGTTACCGCGGCATTTTTAACAATGTTTAATTTTAAATAGTAAATTTGTAATTGTAAAATACAGTTATGAGTTCTTATGGTCACACCTGATTCTACGACTAGGAAAATGTAGGCATATTTATCTCTTATACAATGAGCTGTTTTATGAAAAAGAACGATGAAATGTTAAGAACCGCTTTTACATTCGATCAAGTGCAGCGATCGTGTCAGATACTTTACATACTTTCAAATGTGATGAACATCCGTGGCACCATCATAATTCCGCCCTTTTTACCCTGTTGGTTGTCAAGAGAGATTTATTGTTTGTTGCAAATTATTAAATTCAAATTGATCACTTCATTATGATGTCTGAAAATCAAATTAGAGACTTTACTGCTGAGTTTACTGCTACGGATCAAAAGAAATTCTTAAGTTATTAGATTTCCCGCCGCTAAAAGACGCGAACATGCAAAGACGTCAGTGATTGGACAGTTTAGATACCATTCGTGTTCTGATTGGTTCAGGATTTAGATGAGGTTTATGTATTAGGTAAGTCAAAGGAAAATCCTTTTTTAATTAATGTACAGCAAGCACGTCTTAAATTCTTGATTCTCTTTACTTCTCTAACTCGTTAATAATTCATCAAGTTGAAATAATGGAAAATCATAATCAAACTTATGACGCTGATTAGATTTTTACTATTATAATTTGCACGTTTTCTCCTCAAGTTTTAGTCTTGATTGAGAAGATACATCAGACACTAAAGACAGTGTTTGACCACATTTCCAAACAACTTGAAGCTCGTCAAAAATACTCTGTTTTGCACCCTCTTCTCGGTGATTGGATATGTGGTAATAAACGGTCTCTTGTGTTTGATATATTACAAAACTGATTATAGTGACCTGAACAAAGAACTACAGGAAACTCATCGTTACTCGGTGACACTCTCTTGGGAATTTATTCTACCAACCTCGTCACTGATCTGAAACACGGCAGGAGCTGTTGGGTCTGTTTGGATCATTTTTCGATGCCATCTTCGACGTCGGACTAAATCTCGTGTACGAGCTTTGCTATGAAACTTGGAGGAAAACACCGCAGCGTATTCCCAACCTTCCGTGTCAACGTTCTCCTGACCCTAGAAATTAAGCAAACATTACCTCACAAAACGTTTTGCACGGCCGTGAAACAAAAGGAGGTTGCAAACACCTGAGTGCAGGTAAGCTACTGTTAAGTGGATACTGAGCTAGAACATATCTGTCTTGATGTTCTAGCAAGGTGTCCGTAATAATATATATTTAGTTGTAAGGAGTTGTTTTCCTAATAGTGCGACCATTCAAATGAAAGCTATTGAGACGAGTTTTCACGTGGTAAGTTCCATTATACTGTGCAAGGTCAAATTCCAGTTTCCGAGACCAGGCTGAGCCAACAGTTTTAGTTCTGTAGTTGCTATGAGACTGATAATGATGGCGTGGGAACTTTCGGAGTACTCTCAACTAGGATCAAGTATCCATGCTATGGTTTAATTGGAAGATCAAAATCCGAAACTTAACGACCGTAATGAAAGTTGGTTTTGAATTTGTGGATAAAACCCTAGTGTGTTTCACCACTCAAAATGAAAGCTACTGACAACAACTTTTATGTGCTACTTTTTACCTGCTTTTACGAGGTGGTTTTCTTATTAACGTTGGTGTAATATGTGACCGTTCAAATGAAAGCTATTAAACAAAACTCTGGAATTGTTTAATATTGACATTCTTGAAGTCAAAGTGTTAGATCTCACAATAAACACGGAAGCCGAAGGTTTACCTTATCTTCCTTTTCTGTGCTTTTCACCAGGTTCCTGCTGCGAACCCATCTTCTCCTCCTTGACATGTGATAAGTTTTCTCCACCGCCACGTAACTCGCTACACTTGTGTCCACTGTGTATTCCCATCCTACAATCAAACACAGCGTAACCACGATGAAGCTGAGAAGTATCGAAATTCTATTAAACAATTAGATTATGAGCTCGAGATTTCTATCGCTGCGCCCTCGTCAACTATCACGCATAGAAATCGAGAGCGAATAATCAAATTGTTTTAGTATAAATCTACTAGTCGTTCAAAACGTAATCTAAATCCTCTTCACAGACACTTCGAAAACGCCAAAAAGCAGCCGTCATTTTGTTAACAAGATCACACTGCTACGCTACTCACTATCTATCACAGAATAGATAGTGGGCAGCCTAGCCAATCAGAGAACGGCATTCATGATAGAACGCTAATAGATTTATACTTATAAAATATACAACATGGTCTCCGTATGGTTCACGTTAAGTCACTTGGACATCATTCACAGTGGTGGTTGCTTTCTTCTACAGTGAAAGTGCGTTAAAAGTAGGTTAAGTCTGTGCTTGAGCTTACTGGCCCATCAGGCTAGCGCTTATCTACAGTTTCAGTAACATGAAGCGACTAGGAGTATTCGTTCTCCCCCCTGGATGGGACACTAGTCTATCGCAGGGTTACCCCGGGCGCTAAACTCGCCGGTATCCATTTATATACCTGGGTGGAGAGAGGCACTGTGAGAGTAAAGTGTCTTTCCCTAGAACACAACGCAATGTCCCGGCCAGGGCTCGAGCCCTGACCGCTTGATACGAACTCCAGCGAGCTAACCATCGCCATCGCATCTTCCACAGTGAAAGTACCCAGCTCTAATTTACCAGCGCAACTGTTTCATTTCCGTTCGTTATTTCTGTTCTCTTACCATCTTCATCCACTGCCCTGTTGGTGTCTGCGTTCCACTCTGAAGTCCATTCCCAGCCTTCAGGGGCCACTATCGACTCCTTATTAGAGGTGGCATTCCCATGCTGCAGAGCGACACACAAGGAATGCCAAATTCAGCAAGTTATGATTCATAGGAATATAAAACAAACCAGAAAAGTGATTTATTTAAACCAGGTTGAATTGGATACTACAACTTTCTCTGGATCATTTCAATGTTATGAAATGCAAAAACTAATCAACGTCAATAAAAGAAACAAATTGTTACAAAAATTAGAGATATCCTTCGCAACGTGGAATTAGAAAAGTTTCGAAAATTTCTCGCAATAGGGTTCCTCTTAAATCGCGCCAAATTAAATCTACAATGCTGGCGTAGTTTGGGAAATCAAACGCATTTCGATTGGACGAGCGCCATATTGAATTTGGAGAAAAAGAGACCCTTCCGGTAATGGATATTTACATAGCACCTATCCAGATCTGTTCTAGGCGCTTTACAAAAGTAAAAGAGCTAAAAAGAAAGATCTACGAGAAAACAACATAGAGAACAATGATAAAAAAAATAAAATAAATTAAAAATTCTTTCCAGCTAAAATAATAATTTTTTAAAAGATACGTCTTCAGTTTACGTTTAAAAAGACTTGGATTATCGCATGAACGTATATCATTGGGTAGCTTGTTCCAAAGTTCTGAAGCTGAGACAGAAAAAGCTCTGGATCCATAGGTCTTTAGGTTAAGGTTAAGACGAAGTGCGGATGATGAGTGGAGTGTTCTGGACGATGAGTATCGAGTTATCAGTTCTTGAATGTAGTTAGGAGACTGCAGGTGGAGGGTCTTGTAGGTGAGAAGTAGAATTTTGAATTTGATTCGTTCAGAAATAGGAAGCTAGTGAAGATCGAAGAGGATGGGGGTGATGTGATTGTACTTATGGGAATTTCTCAGTCTTCTCAGGTTCTTTCGTATATCATTAATCAAGGCAACAAATGAAAGAGCACTCTAGAAAGAAATCAGTAATTATAATAATCTTGAGCTTGGCCACTCACAATGTCAGTCCAATTCACAGAAGAAGGATTCCAGTTTCCTCCGGAAAAACGCTCTTCGTTTTCAAAAACGTCCTCCAGAAAATTCTTGCAGCCCGTGTCTTTGTCATAGGCAAAGCTATATACAAGACAAAAGATGAAAATTGGAATTAGCAGCTTATCACCTCCAGCACCGTGAAGTCACACGATGAACAGGTTTCCCTGACATCAACAGTAGCTAAGACTCTGTTTCTCGAAATGATACGAGGGAATCGAAGTTTAATCGACTTTAAGTTTCACCACTTAACACGTTTTATAGTGAGGAAGTAAAAGCATTTTCAAATCACTTAATTTTCGAAAATTTTAAGTGGCTGTGACCTTCCTCCGTAATGTTTGTCAAACTTTTCAAAAAATTGCATTTTATCTTTGTTATTAACTACCTACGATAAACTTAATTACTTATTAAATAAACGCTTCTTCCTCAGCACTGTAAATAACAAATTTGTATTTTCATTTCATGTGGGAAATACCATTTTGAATATCAGTTCACACACACACCTTAGTTCTGGATTAACAAACCATTTTCCGTCAAAGCTCCAGCCATCTGGTGGAATAAACGAGTCTTTATGAAGCTTCAACTGCAATTAAAATCAGAACTAACAATAAGCAAAAAGCCCACTACAAACATACTCTATATTCTTGACGCTTGTAGGTTGCAGATAAGTCACACAATATACTCTAGATCAAAACTTTGGAAAGGACAAGTTACATTTGTCTTTCTCAAACTCAGTCAAAGAAAATCATAACAGTGATGTGATTTGGATAACTGATCTTAGTCAGCATAGAAATTAACGTTTTCATCTCTCCGTTAACTCCTTATTTTTATTTTCGATTGTGAGGATATACCAAAAAATTCGACACAATGTTTCCTCAAATGAGTAAGCACCTCAAAAAATATTGCACTGCGCGTTGTATTTTCAAATCTCTTCTCGGCGTTTGGAAATGCGATGAAACACTGTGTCTTGTATTTGAAGTAATCAATCTAGTGTTACTAAATTTCACGCTGATTATTAATATTTTCATTAATCTATTTTAAAGAAGACCAAGTACCAGATAAGAAAAATTAGTTCTATTCTTACTTTCCAAGTGGAAATACCACGAACACGAAGAATAAGCTATCTCACCGTTCCACCAGCGTTTGACCAAGCAGGGCGAGGAAGTCCTTTAGCAGTCCATTTGCCAAGAACGCTCATCATATTTTCGTACTATAAAGAAAAACAACAACAACAAAAAAAAACATTCACAGCTTCCAACTTGATTTGGAATTCCTTGGTCAAAGCCTTGTTAGTCCTGCATATATTTCAGTGCCAGGTTGTTCAAAAGCTGGTTAACATAAACCCAGGATTAAAAGTTAACAAAAATATTACATTTTCTCGTGTAAAAATGTTTTTGACTGCTTATGTTTTGATTAGTTTGATCTTACTCTAGCTTGAAACTGAAGGCCAAACAATAGGAACAACGAAAAGTTACAAACCTGAAAGCAAAATTTTCGCTAATCCTGGGTTAGCTTAATTGGGCTTTGAACAACCCGGCCAGGTGTTTCCACTCGTTACCAACGACAATATATTCATTTTACTTTGTTGTTACGTCACAGAGGTTACTTATCAAATGCAAATACTGTCAATTGCTATCTGACTTGACTGCTTTGCACATAACTAGTCATACCGTTTCTGCAAATACGCAAAAGTCGCCCTCAGTCTCCTGGCGGTTGGTCCAGGCCTCTTGGTGTTTTTCGAGCCCAAGCCACAGTATCACACGAACGTTAGCAGGGACCTCTGGGTAATCCTCTAGATTAAACTGCTTCTTACCGGGGTACTGTGGAGATAAAAACGAAATTTGTGTTGAACATTTGTTTGGGTTTGATTGTTTTGGTTATTCTTGTGCCAAGGCCAAGAAATCACGCAAACACTATGCCAAGGCAAGTCACCATTACAAAGGTCACCATAATTACTAAAGAAAAAAATATGCAACCAGCAATTAAGTGCGGGAAAGACACCAAACAAATAAATTAAGTGTTGTTGGATTTACAACTGACTGGCCAAGTAGAGAGTGAATTGGTTAAGCTGCACGGGAGGACAAAAGTCCGCGTTGGGACGAATTATCTGTGTTTTACAACTGAAGTTTGAAAAAGCACTGCTATCCTTTTAAAAGTGCGTTGCTGTTCCCCCCTCCTCAACCCAATACAATGTCGAAACTCAGGAGAAATTGCAGGTAATAATTTTTATCATTGTAGGTGGGGTGGAGGGAGAGGCTAGGCAAGTGAAGTTGTATTCGCGCACGACTGTTTGTCGGGCGTGTGTGAAAAAAAAACAAAAAAAAACATAAGTACAAATTTGTCCCAAAACTTTTATCCATGACTGTAATCTCTTGGGTAGAACAAAATGCTACGTGCACAAAGTGTACACGTCACCCAGAACTGCTGCCCTGACATTCATCGGAATCCAAGTCATTTATTTTGAAGGATTGAAAATATTACCTTCATAAACAAATCCATTGTTTTCCCGCAATGTTTCCCTCGTGCTTCAAAGTGTGGTGAGTACAGAAGATCATAAGCGGGGATTCGGTGATAAGCTATTCTTTTGTCTCCACTCATCATCCAGATAACAACATCAGGCATGCTGTTCTGAGGCTGTTAACAAAGTTCAAAGACTTTTAAAAATAACTTTAGGTATTCACGAATGAATCCTGCCTTTAAAAGACTAGGTCGCACAATTCTAGACAATTTCTGGATTGACTAGCTGGTTTTAGTATAAATCTACTAGCGTTCTATCACGAATGCCGTTCTCTGATTAGCTACACTACGCACTATCTATTTAAACAATGGAGTGTTTCTGTCGAGGAACTACCGGCTGATAGTTGCCCCGCAGAAATTTGATGTCCTTAAAACAAATATGCTAGTTTTAGGAACATCAAATTTCCAAGGGGCAACTATCAAACCGATAGTTCCGAGACATAAACACTCTGTCGTCTTTATTGTTCAGCACTAAATTTTCTTCCGGGCGCCAGTTAAAAAATCATATCAAATTACTTTCAACTTTTTTAGATGAAAGCCGTGAAAGCCAAATGTAAAATTTAAAAAGGAAAATAAACAAAACCCACTTAACACAATTTCATTTGTTTATTTTTTTATAAGTTCGCTTGTTTACAAAACATTTTTTACGGAAGAGTACTATCCGTCCGAGTATTTTCCTCGGACGGGCACCATGGGCTGATAGTGTCTCTCCGCGGATGAACACTATTGGAGAAAATTTAGTGGTGAACTATAATCTGTGATGGATAGCGAGTAGCGTTGCAGTGTGCCCTTGTTAACAAAATGACGCCCGCTTCTTGGCGTTTTCGAAGTGTCTGTGAATAGGATTTAGATAAAGTTTTGAACGACTAGTAGATTTATACTAAAACAATTATATTATTCGCTCCCGAATTTCTATGTGTAATAGAAATCTCGACCTCAGAATCTAATTGTTTAGCAGAATTAAAAGAAATACCCCAATAAAAGGTTAAAACCAAAAAGCCCCAAAAATGACTTTGATGGATAAAATTTCTGAAGTTCAAACGCACTGCATTCGGTAAACTTAAAAAAACGTCAGCTCGATCTGTTCGAGTTAATCTCAATACATATGTAAGCTTCAGTTATAATTCTCGGAAATCATCGGGTCCATGTTTCTTATGTGGCTGTTTATTTGCTTCTTCTTATACCAACCGTACCTTTTTGGTACGCTTCGGCGGTATTCTAGGCGAGTTTGGTCAAGCCATGGTTCGTATTTTGGCAAGGTGTAGTCGAGCCAAAATATCCATGGCGAGACCAAAGGAGCCTGAAGGGCCACTGAAGCGTAACAAAAAGATACGATTAGCTATTTACCGTACCCAAATTCGGCCAAGTGAGCATGATATATACCATATCAGGTCGGTGACACAGCTTCTGATTGGCTAATTGCGAATTTGGGTAAGGTAAATAATAAACAGAAAATTATGATTAAAAATTAAGACACTGCAACAAAACAAAATTTAATTTTTTATAAACTTTCACCTCCACCGCAAGTAAACGCAGCCTCTTTATAAAGTCCTCGATAGCACCGATCGTTTCTTCCACGTCTGTTGCACTGGTACGAAGTTTTGTGGCTTCCTCGAGGATATCTTTCTACAGTTTGAAATATCACACACATTAGTAGCAATCCACGCATCTGATTGGTTCTCCTATTGTTGTCTACTTCCTGATAGAACGCAATCGCGCGCCAACTGCACTTGGAAAGGAAAAAAAATATTCTGGATCTTTGAACTTCAGGTTTTAGACCGCAGTCCTTAAGAGCCTCTGCTAAAATATACCACCGCACTCGTCCTCGTTTTCTGTAAGCGAGTGGTCAGCTGGGCTGTGCCTCTTTGATAATACGCTCACAGAAACTCGAGCTCGTATTCCTGGATAAGAGTTATTTAGACTGTATAAGACAAACACCGTCGAACCTCTATGTGCTGACACCTTCCTATTACCTACAGTTCAATCACGATACTCAGTAGAAAACCGTTGCAGATTTTCTTGACAAAAAATAGCCTGTATAATAAAACCAACAACTTAAAATCAAAGTGCTCTATGAGCAAACCCGTCGATTTCCCAGTGGATGATGATTGACCTGTGGCTTGCGGGTTATTCTAGTTATATGAATTACCATATTGACTTCTGGCTATACTTGTTACAACAGCAGCTTTTTTATAGGAAAAAAAGAGAATAACTTTTGGCGCATACTACATGAAGTACAAGAGCTGGCAAACCTCTACTACATGAGCTGCATTGCTCGAATGGATTTAATCAATCTCGATTGAGCCACTCTACCTTGTAAACTTCTCGTCGCCTTGCCCAACATATTTTTCTTCCCTCCTGAAGACGAAAGCGTAGTATGCTTTACGCAACTCAGCGCCGCTAGATCGAAAGCGAATAGGTTGAGAATAAGATCGACGCGACACTGCTCGGAGGGTAGCTGCAAAAGATCTTCCGAAATATCGATTTTTTTTATTATGAATTACAAACGCACAACATCTAAACCATCGGATGCAATTTGAGGTCGGTTATGCGAAACAGCAAGGTCGCGTAACGTCAAAAACCGTGTTCTTATCGGTTCCAAGCTTGAAATAAGTACATGTAGCTACTTGCGGATGTCCTTCAGCAAAAAAAAAGGGTTGAACAAGCCACTAAAACCACAAAAAAACCACTAAAACCCTACAGATTGCTTACGCAATCTCTGGGTTAAAAACTGACAACGTGCATTATATCCCAGCCGTAAATAGCTTGTCAAACAACTATTACAGTTAAAATTCTGAGCATTTTTAGACTCAACCACTCAGAAAATTCCGGAGATTTTCTCTTTTCCATGAAACGAAACTGTTTTCTATTTTCCGGACGACAGAGCTTCCACCGTATTTACACGAAAAGTAATAAGTGGTTTTGTTACACAAAAAAATCACAAGAAATTGTAAATATATTTAGCGAGTTCAGTGCATTGCTTATGAGTGGCTTAAAATAGTCAGAGTGGCCAACCTCGTGTTTTAAAACTCTTGTGGTTTTACAAGTAGCTTAAATACACCTTGTACTGCGACGTTGGTTAGCCTGTGCAGTCATAGGTAAGTCTGTGTATAATCATTGCCAGAGCTAGTCACTGGCAAGCTTGTGCATTTAACGAAACTTACCAGCTCACATTCCCTTGTATCTCCTATTTTGAAGTCAAGGTCGTTAACTCCAGGGGTCTTATGTGTCGCACGGGGAAGCGGTTTGCTAAGAACATAATACGGAAATCAAACTTTGTTACTTCATTGTTAGAAATTTCTTTTGAAACGCACAAGACGCATCCACAGTATTTTACTACTTCTTAAAAATGGCGGTTAGGGTACAAAACACGTAGTTCATCTGAGGTTTTACAGGGCTACGTTGCTGCTCAAAGATAGCCCGCGCTAAGCCAAAGAAAACAGGTTTTTCTGTGCCACACGTTCTACCGAGGAACAACAGGGCCAAGGTTTGACCAAGTTGCCTCCTTACCCCCGCCGAAAATCCATAATCTCCTTGCAAATTGATTCTAAAAACTTCTTAATCGGTTCTTTTGCGTTCAGATATCGCTTCACTCGACTGACTGTTAAGCGAAATTGTTAAGTTTTAGTTTAGCAGTGGTCTACTGATTAGCACGCTGTACTCTGGATCAAACAGTCCGGGTTTGAGCCCTGGCCGGGTACATTGTGTTGTGTTCTTGGGCAAGACACTTGACTCTCACAGTGCCTCTCTCCACCCACGTGCATAAATGGGTACTGGTGAATTTAATGCTGGGGGGTAACCCTGCGATGGACTGGCATACCATCCAGGAGGGAATAGAAATACCCCTAGTCGCTTCATGCTACAAAAGCCAGAAATATGGCACCAGTTGCATAGTTTATTTGTAGCGTATTGAAAGTGTCTCAGAGATGCAGTCTGATGCATTACAAATCACTGGAAAGCATTTAATGCCTTCTTACCTGCAACTATCTATCAACGTGTCCAGGAGTTTCATAATAAGAACTGCGACATTGGTCAGCGAGGCATTTTCGGAGATGGCCAGTTGAACCTTTTCCAGGTCGGTTTCCTAGTATTAGAAAATGCAAGTAAAACATAAACACAAGGACTTATAAATCAAATTCTGCTATGATGACAGAGCTTTAGCATACTCTGGTCATTTCTATACAAACCATGGTTCTGTGAAGTTGTAGAGAACATGTAAATGTACGCACGAAATGTGACATACAGTAAGTGTAAAATGAGTGGGAGGCAATACTGTGTATATAAACAAATCCAAAATGGTTAAAAACAGGCGATGCGAAAATTGTTGTGTCTAGTGAAAGGTAAGGTAAGGTAAAGTCTGCATACGAGCCAAGTGGCCCNACACCTGGGTGGAGAGAGGCACTGTGAGAGTAAAGTGTCTTGCCCAAGAACACAACACAATGTCGCCGGCCAGGGCTCGAACCCAGACCGCTCGATCCGGAGACGAGCGCACTAACCATGAGGCCACCGCGCCTCCCTGTGTCTAGTGAAAGGTAAGCATAATAATACATGTATGTGTCTGATGCTTACCTTCACCTAAAGAAGCTTTGTGTATAAAACTGGAATGAAATGGAATTGGTTTACAGCTACTGAACGTGCACTGTTCAAGGTAAGGGTAACAATAGGTCCGGAAGGTGTACATGTCCCTTATTCTTGTCGAATTGCATGAAACAGACGCGTACGTTGTATGCCACAGGGTATCTAATGCAATAAAATATTCGTTGTCTGCTATGAAAAGAGTAAGCCACTTTCACAACACTGGAGTCATCTTTACTGCATTAATCTATTTTTTCTACATGCACTCACAAGTTGTTCGCACATCCGAGTGAGGATGTTAAGTGGCTCCAGTCTGAAAGCGATGTCCTCCCAATGACTGTCCACGTTACAGCATGGTTTAATATCATTCCAAGGCAGAAAGTAATAGAAGCTGCCGTCAAATATGGCGTTTGTTGGTGACGTAGAAGATGATGACGGTGGAACTGACAAATCAAGCTGGTTTCCATAGTTACCTACGAAACAACAAATGACCAGAGTGGAAATTTGGGCAACAGAAACTTACGAAACGCACTATCCTGTCGAAGGGCTACTCTTGCATGGACACAGATGGAACGCCTGGCCAGGGACAGATGGGATTGGAGGAGTTCTGTCAGTGACCTGTGCTCCGAAATGGAGTAGACAGACCTCAAATCAGATCATAGTATTTGACATTCTTCAGTGATACAAACCAAAAAGACACTTCACTAAGAAAGCAGAGATTTTTGCCGCTCTTTAACCTTGTTATAGTTGTTTGAAGGATGGAAAATGCTCATTTCTATCCAGTGTATGACAAGTGCGGCCATTGGTTATCCTGCCAGCCTTTAAGCCACCACCGTTAAAACTAATGTGTTTAATCTATATGCTTATTTAAATAAAAACGTACCTATACTTATTTCAAAAGTAACAGGTCCATCAGTGCAAGCAACCATCGTAGCCTCCAGGAAACAAGCAAACAACTTGTATTTACGTCGACGGAGGTATGTCTGTGAAGAAACAAATGAAGGCTCAAACTCATTTTCTGTTCAACCTTGATTTTCGTTTACTCAGATGTGAAACACTGAATTTTTTTTATAAGCCGTCCAATAAGGGAAACAAAAGCTTGTGGGAAAAGCCAAATCATGATTGGTTTCATGTTTACATCTCAATTAAACCTAAAATTTAGAGTATACTCAGACAAATCTTTAGAGCCTTTAGAAAGTCGTTATGTAAAGGTAATGGACAAAATGATAGAGCGGTTTTCACTTGAGTGTCGAAAAAGTAATTGGTTTTGCACTTAATACGCTACAGATTGGCTTAAAAAAATCGCGCCCTTTTTTCGTCAAATCGGAAGTAAAACTAAAACCAATCGTTATGTATTCGCTCACGTTTTCTCGCGCTTGGCGTCAGCGACATGCACTTACTTCGAATTTTGATTGGTTTATTGAATTGCCTGTGTCCTATGTCGTTGGCTGGAGTGGTTACTTTGGTTTTGGTTTTATGACACACAGTTAAAAACCACTATGGATATTTCCCTTCAGGAGTTCTGCATACCTGGACTCGTACGATATCATCACTCAGAACATCTTCTACAAGTTTTGTTGGTTGTGTATCCATCTTTGTCTCCAATTCAATCAGAACTCGACCACGATAAGCAACACCCTCACCCTGTGAAATATACAGTTAACTCATTACTCGCGAAATGGTTAAATCGCTAGATGGCTAAGAACGAGAATGACTTTCATGAACCGATAGGAATATCACTTCTCTGATCATGAAACAAAATGCAATCATTCATACACGACCTCAATGTCAACTGAATGTTGAATGGATCTTCTGCAAGATTTGACCCTTATTGGAAAGGAAAGGGAGGAATCTCTACTACCTCAGAAATGTTCCATAAAATTCCGTCAGACAGATTACCACCTGATTCTCGATCTGCATAAAATACTTCATTTTAACAATTAGACCCGTAGCCCTTGAGGACGAAGGGTCTAATTGTTTTAGTATCACCCAACTAGTCGGACAGAAAAGGCAATAATAAAGTTAGCAAATGCAAGTTGAAGAAAAATTTATTTGGGAATAAAACGAAAGAAAGGGTCACGCTCGATTGCTATTCAGCTTGTGTTGTATATACCAAAACAAACTACACCGAGTGTCGGTGAAAGTAATGGATATTGACCTCGGCGCTCCGCGACTCGGTAAATATCCACAACTATTTACCTCCTTAATTATCATATGGAAGTTGTGACTGACTGATTGCTATTTAATAGTGATCAGTCAACCTAAAAACTTCCATACGACGTAAATTTTTAAAACTTCGGATCTCTCATTTTTGTGAATTGAATGCTTTTACAAATTTATCTGTTAGTAATACCTAGACAGGGCTCAAGACAGACGGTAAGCAACAAAGAAAACAACACTAATAAAGTGTATTATCGTTTGTCTCACGATGTAGTCACATGAGATGTAGATCGTGACGTTTCGACTGCTTACTGCTAGTCTTCTTCAGGCAAGAAGGTCGACATGCGAAAGCTGAACACAGTGGCGATGATACAAGCGAGTTATCAACAGCCTCAAGAGCTACAGCGAGCCATCTATGAAATGCTCACTAGCAGAAAATCTGGCAGGTTGAAAGTTGGTTTGACCAGTAAAATCTGACCTACATGTCGGCATCTAGTAGGCATAGCCGGTGTGTCGTGAAATTCGTCCTGGTCCCTGCTAAGCTACATAACTGTATCTTTATTGATAAGACACGCACATTCAGGTACTGTTAAGTTCTTCAACGAAAAAGAAATATCAGCTCACTCAGAACTTACAATGCCGAGATTGAGATCGTCGTACTCGTCAGGTAGATCAGAGTATTCTCTTGTGGAGCCATAAAAGTTTAAGAAGCATGGTCCAAACCTTGGCAGAAAACCTGGTGTAACACAAAGAAAGAGAAAATAAATAGCCGTAGAGTTCATTGGTTTAGGGTTCTGCTATTAGAGATACATATAAAGTGACTGCTGTTGTCATTGCTGTTGTTGATGATGCTGTTATAAATCTTCCCACTACAGTATATAAACCTCTGCAACCCAATAAGCTTGGGATACCTGTGCACGAAAAAATTGACTGCGGTCGAAACTCCCCACAAAAGCCACCTCGGGGACAGTGGAAAGTGGACGTTGTGGAGAGGTGACCATTTTGAGGAGGTAGGGGTGATATATGACACCTGTTTTACAAAGGATGCAAAATTTATTTTCGTAAAAAATGCTTTACTTAGTATATAAACTGTACGAGACACAATCAAAATGTATTAGTAAAACATAAACTAAACAGAAAAGAGACCAACGACCCGCAGTAAGAATCAAGTTGGTGACCTTTCGCAATAAAAATGGCGTTTTCTAGTATACACTGCTCACGATCAGGCAGATACGTGGCAGGTAGAGTGAAATACAACATCAAGTCACTGAAAGATCCCTTTATTGCCCAGCAATTTTCTATTACGACCAGGAATAAATACATACCTCTTACTAACCGAGTTCGAGGTCCGTACTATAAGTTACGGACCGAGGTTTTTCCCCTTCGATTTATGGCCCAAGCGCGGAGCGCGCGAGTCATAAACCGAAGGGGAAAAAACGAGGATCCGTAACTTACAGTACCGATCGAGAAGACGAGGTTAGTAAGATATTTATTATATCTCTACTGTGTGCCTGACGGGTTCGGAAACGATTTCTATTCACGCAGACTCGGAAATGCTTCAAATTTCTGACGCACCTCGAAAGCAAAACGAGTCAGTTTGAAATTGTATTTAAGTCGTTAGCACGCTTTCTTACACAATTTAGAGTGTAGAGAAGTTTAATGCTTTCACTTGCTATAAAAGTTAAGAACACCTGGCGATAAATACGAAACAGTTTGGCAACAAAACCAACTTTGAATTTTAGCGGGCCGTACAGGAGAGTACGGCCCGCTAAATTGACCAATCACAGCACGCGTACTAATTGAGAGATATAATAACAAGCCCTCCACGATATGCAGGACCCCGGAGATCCAATAGACAAAAGTTGGGATAGCCTGAAGAAGATATGGACAGAAGCAAGCGAGGAAATACTTGGGCGAAAGAAACAACATAGCAAAGCTTGGATATCAAAAGACACCGTCTCAAAGGTCATCTTGAAAAGATCAAAGAAAGAGACCCTTAACAGGGCACGCACAAGACTGCAAAAGGAGAGGGCCCATGCCGAGTACACTGAAGCAAACAAGGATGTTAAAAAAAAAGTGTGAGGAAGGACAAGAGGAAGTTCATTGATGACTTAGCAAAAGAAGCAGAGGCTGCAGCTAGGCAACATTACAAGAAGGCACTTTATGATACAACTAAGCAACTCTCAAGGAAGTTTAAGGCAACAAACCACCAAATTAGGGATTTAAATGGTCGTCTACTAACAACAACAGAGGAGCAACACAAAAGATGGGTAGAGCACTTTCAACAGCTCCTCAATAGGCCTCCCCCAATGGAACCTCCAGTACTGCCAGCAGCTAACCAGGAACTTGACATAAGCTGTGAACCCCTAACCAGGGCTGAAGTTGAAAAAGCGATCAAATCCCTAAAGAACAACAAATCAGCAGGTCCTGACAACATCCCTGCGGAGGTATTGAGAGCCGACATCAGTACCTCAGTGAACATGCTCCATGGCCTAACAAAGATCTGGGATCAGGAATACATACCATCAGAATGGAGAGCGGGGATCCTGGTTAAGCTAGCTAAGAAAAGCGACCTTAGTATGTGCAAGAACTATTGGGGAATCATGCTCCTGTCAACCGCTGGAAAGGTCTTAAATCGTATAATCCTGGAACGTATGAGGGAAGCCGTGGATAGGATACTGCGGGAGAACCAAGCAGGCTTCAGACCATCAAGGTCAACAGCAGATCAAATAACTACCCTGCACATAATCGTGGGGCAGTCGCTTGAATGGAGGACGTCACTCTTTATAAATTTCATTGACTACGAGAAAGCCTTCGATAGCCTGGACAGAAATGTCCTGTGGGACCTAATGGCCAACTCCGGAATCCCCAGCAAGATCATATCACTTGTTAGGAACACGTATGAGGAAACAAACTGCCGTTTTCTTCATGAGGGAGGCTTAACTGAAAGCTTTAGTATCAAATCAGGCGTAAGACAGGGCTGTCTCCTATCGCCATTCCTTTTCCTTCTTGCAGTTGATTGGATTATGAAAGAGAGGACAACTGGCTCAGGAAATGGAATTCAATGGACCCTTGTAGACCAACTCGAAGATCTGGATTTTGCCGATCATTTGGCACTTCTGGCACACACTCATACTCGGGTGCAGGCAAAAACCACTAAGCTTGAAGCTATCTCATCTAAACTAGGGCTTAAGATCAATACCGATAAGACAAAGACCATCAGGATTAATAGCAATGCGAGTGAGCAGATCAGGATCAATAATCTCGGCATAGAAGATGTAACATCCTTCACATACTTAGGTAGCGTTATTAATATCACGGGAGGAACAGATGAAGACGTAGTGGCAAGGATAGGGAAAGCACGCAGCGCGTTTAATACCTTAGCAAACATCTGGAGATCCAGGGAAATAACAACAACCACCAAAGTCTGTAATGCTTTACGGGTCAGAAACATGGAGAATGACTGAGAAGACCGTGTCAAAACTACAGACCTTTATTAATAGATGCCTGCGTAGAATCCTTGGCATCTACTAGCCTGCCACTGTCAGCAACGCTAAACTGTGGGAAACCACAGGGCAAGCACCTGTGAGACAAGAGTTGACAAGCAGAAAATGGACATGGATCGGCCACACACTCAGAAGACCAAATTACTGCATTGCCCGACAAGCTCTTCGTTGGAACCCGCAGGGAAGTAGACGGAGAGGGAGACCACGCAACAGCTGGAGGAGAGACACAGACCACACCATCCAGTCGAGAGGTCTTTCCTGGCATCAGCTGGAACGCCTGTCCAGGGACAGAGGGGACTCGAGGGACTTTGTCAGTGGCCTATGTTCCGAGATGGAATAATTAAAGACTTCAGATCAGAGAGATACACTGCTCACCAGTCATTGATGATCTGGCCGTTGTTGAGAGGTTATTTTGGCAGTCCGGACACGTTTTAGTGGCCGTTGCCGTTGTGGAGAGGTGGCTGTTGTAGAGAGGTTAAAATAAGAGTGAATGTATGGACTGCCCGCCAGGACCAAAAAATGTGGCCCTTGTGGAGAAGTGGCCGTTGTTAAGAGGTAGCCATTAGTAGGTTCGACTGCATTAATCTATAATCGGTAAACCAACCTTCTTCTCCTTGCCCTGATATCTCAGACATTGGAAGATAATAGGTACCGATGCAATCATCGCTACTTAGTTTATCCCTAAAAAAAAAAAAACAAAAAAAAAATGTTGCCTATTAAGCAGAGAAAATGATGATCTGCAGTAAGTAATCTTGAACAATTAATAGTCAAATGGAATGCTAACCGTATCCACCCCCACTTTGAAACAATTTTCTGCAATCCTCAGTCACCCATCTCTAGTTTTTTTAAGTTACCCCCCTCCTCCTTCATCCTCAAGACGCATAACAGTGACTGCCTTTGCTTTCACTTGGTTCACACCTTCAATACATTGTATCTTAAATAGCACAAATCAAACTAAACCTGTATTTTTTAACAAAACAGTGCAATTAAAAAACATTTCTCCTTGAGAAGGAAAACTGTTTAAGATCTGTTACGTAAATTCACTTACCAGTCCCATAACTGCAGTTTTAACTTTTCAGCCATTGTGGGGAACTAAAACCAAAATCATAGTTATTAAATTTGATTTCAGTTGCAGTTTTTGACAATTTTCATTTCTCCCTATAAGATGAAATAACACAACTTTGGTTTCAACGAGGGAGGAAAGAACTGCCCTTATAATGGTTGACTGTTTACATGTATTGACAGGCTGTGCAGTACGAAACTAGTGACAGGATAAGTTCAAATCGGCAAGATCCCTGAGCGTTTAACAGTCAGTAACAAGATCCATTTTCATTTTAACAAATGGAGAGAGATCCTTTAGGATACATCCTATCCAACCAAAATTGTTGGCACAATAGCTGTTCGTTCGTCACTATTATAGGCCAGCAAACCATTGATATCTTGCCATTACTCGTTCTCTTTTTTTGTAGTATTCTAGTTAAGATATGTAACGTAATGTACACGTAAATCAACAACATACTAAAAGAATGTGCATTTATTATAATTATTATATATTAATATGTATGTAATGTATTGGAAACTTTTTTTTTATTTTTTGTTTTGTTTTGCAAGTTAAGAAAAGAACCAATCAAACACAAAAAAAATAGAACGTGCATCAAAATTGAAAAAATTAAGGCTCAGGAGCTTGTGGAGCAAATTTGAATTTTTAACCGCAAATTCCACTGTGGTTGTCTGATCTCAATCTCTCAACAAACCGTCAACCCTCTGGCAATTGTTTCCTCCCTTTGTGACACGGAGGTAGTATTATTTCATTTCATACAAGATAACAAAAACCAAAAGTAATCAAAACTCAATAGAACTTAGCAACTTACAAGTTGCAAGTTGCTATGAGCAAACTGTCAACCAACAATGGAATAATTATTATGTTGCAACATTGCAGAGTTCCATCAAAAAACATCGGTTGGACTGTAATGTCCAGAGGATCTTTTTGTCTGTGAATTTTCTCATATTACCTACTACTCATCCCTTTACATTTGCTTTTGACCACAAAGGTCTGTGTAAATATTGAAAGTTACTTAACTTCGTCTTTGCCAAAGCACTTTTTTGATCCTTAACCAAAGTTGCTACGGTGCACAGAGTAGCAAAGGGGATTATGTTGCATACTTTTTCTACATTGAGCCTGTCAGATTCAACCCTCCCACTTCATTTCAACACTCATTTTTACAGGAATCAAGCAACACGTTTTCAACAATAATACCATTCTCCTCATCGATGACATTCAATTCCATCTGACCACTGTGAAAGCACGTTTTGAAGCATGTCATCATCAACACAACATCTTAAAAATGTTCAAAGCAGAACATCTGAACTATTGTACCTGAAATGGAACATGTAGCTGTTGATTGAATTCAGGATGGTCACAGTTTTTATGTACCTCTGTTTTAACCTGAAAAACAAAACAAAAAACCAAAACAAAGAAACTAGCCAGGTTATTCAGTCAGGAGGATAATACATAACTTTCAAATACTTGCAGTAAATCTAGGGATGCCAGGTTCTATTGTAGATGTACAATATACCGTATGTCAACTTAATCATTGTTATCATCATCAGCAGTATCATCATCATCATCATCATCATCATTGTCGTCGTCGTCGTCATCACCATCCCCCAACATTGTCATCATCAATATCATCAATTCCTTCTTTCTGCATGAGGAACATGGCATGAACACATGTACCAGGGGCATTTTGCATTGCAAAAAGGAACCGCAACTATCTCTACTCACCACTGGCAGCATTTTGTGAGGTTATAACAGAGTAATGCTCACCAAAAGTCCTTACACCATTATCATTGAAATACCACCCAGTTACAAAGAATTAATTATTGCGAGGTGAAGCAATTTATTTCCATTATTCAATTTTGGAACCCTCCCCCACTCCAAAAACAAAGCAAAATTACATGTATGTTGTAAAGATGAATAGATGACATTCCAAACTACACTAAGTCAGGGAAGGTTACAATGTTAGCAAACAGGTGAAGTGTCCCAAGACTTTTCACATGCATTGTAGAGCTCTACGACTTAAAAAGGGTGAAATTATGCGTGAAACTTACTTCTGTACCAGCAAATGAAAATAATAAATATGGATCAACCAACTCTTTCATTTCACCACCCAATAAGGACTTTTTAATTTGCTCGGCAGCAGCAGAGTCCACTGCAAAGAATAAATCACAGAGTCATTTACAATTACATGTACCTTTAAGCACATGTAAAGTTTAAAACAAAAGAATTTTACATCTCCCTTTCCTTTTGTTTTTAAATCTACTAGTCTTATCTCTCATCCATTTCATAGAGATCTAACAAAACAGTTGGAAAATGATTTTAATTTGGAAAGTCATACAGCCCCTTTAAAATTTAGCAATGCATGATTTTTATTTAAGGGGTATGCTCTCTTAATTCCAGTCCACTTATAACATACAGTACTCTCTTACTGCCACAATTAATTTCAAAATTTAGTTTGATAAGGAGGAAACCCAGTCCAGAATAAAGAGGCTCAAAATGCAAGGTAATATTGAGATTTAGCAATAAAGGAAAAGACCCTTTCTCCAATAGTTAAAAGACTCCTATTGGAATTTTTTACATTAAAATTATAATCCTGAATTCTACGTGAAAGTCTCTTGTCAAACAGGAATGCACTGTATTTTGATCCAAGCACAGCAAATAGGTTAAAAAAAAATAAAATTATTAAAACCTACTCTGTGGAATATCTTCAGCTCTAAATACTCTCAGATCAAAGACTGCTGGTCTAAGCATCATTCCAGGAGGTTGGATCAAGTTACTATGGAAACAGAAACAATACAGTTTATTATTTGCATGTTCAAAAAAATTAATGTGTAATAGATCAAAAGCTCTCTTCATTGATATCCACTGCTATTCAATGACTACTACAGTATTTGAATACAGTACACACATTAGTCATCACAAAGTCCAAAGAAACCACACCATTATCTGTATGTGAAAGTTTTTACTATAATTACCTTCTAACAGTAAAATTCACTTACTCTTCGATGTCATCAAGGTCATCTTGATCTTCAGTCACAGTCACTACCTAAACAAGGCAAGTGTATTTCCATTGGATAACAGCTTTATGGGATAGATGTGAGATCAGCGTGGACATGTTTCAAAAAAATCTACTAAGTAATCACAGTCATGTTTGCTTATAACACCACTGACACTCAGATCTTCCAACATGCGATGATCAGGGTAAACTAAGTGAACAGTCTTAAAACAGAAAGTAGTTAGAGAATGTTAAACTTCAGATCTGATCTGATTGGTTCATTTTGCAACAAAGCTGACTATTTGGATCAATAGCCTGTACATGTACAAGTTACTACCACAGTCAAACGGCTCTCCTAACAGACACACCTATGCTATGGGCAGTTCACTTGGTCAAAGAGAAAGCAGAATCTATTATCTCTAGCTAGAGCTACATGTCTGCACAGTCACATCATAGTAAATTTATGTATAGTTTTACACACCTAATTCCCCTTTGGTGTTGATACAAAAAAGCTTTAACTGTCCTCCTACCAGAGCAACAATTTTTGAGTAAACGTGACTGAAGATAATTGCCTTGATTCTCATTGAGCAAAGCAGCATCAAAAAGCCATGAGCCAGAGGTAAATTAGCCTTAAGCATTCAAAAATTACACTCGTCTGATGACTCCATCTTGTTTAATATAATTTATAGCTAAAAGGCTTCAAGTGGATCTGAAAATAAGCAAATTGCAACTTTTATAGTTGTATGTAACTCACCGGAGCCTCATCACCAGGTCCAAGAACCATAACTGTCACTTTCAAGTAGCCCTGAAAAACAGTTGCACAGAAACTCTTAGTTTTCTTTAATTTAATATCTATCAGATAGATCATAGTACATAATTATGTACTGTGATTGGCCAAAGTAAAGTTCAGCCTCTATTCTACAACACATCTTGCATCCTCTGTGCTTGACTTGAAATATTTTCCTTTCCTCAGAATGATAGATAATTATAATAAACATCTTATCAACCCCACTTTTCCATTCACACTTAATAAGATACAGTACAGTTCCTAATTTTGTCCAGTCATGTACTTTGTGCTTAATGCGATAATTAAGAAGAGAAAAACTTCTTGCACATGTCATTGTATGGACCTCAAATGCGATTAAGATAATTAACAGTATAATAAACAAAATTATCACACTTAACAATAAGAAGGGCAGATAGTATATGGACAAGACCCATCAGTGTCAGTACCCTCACTTGGCAAAATGCTGTAGGGGGAATGAAAGGGGGTGGGTGTTAAAACCTGCAAAGGTCCTTCATCCTGGGAGTGGGAAGGGGTCAGGGAACAACACTCCTAAATTGTACATATAGTTTGTAATACTTCACTACAGAAACCAATGAAAGTTATGATATAACAACCTCCTTGTTAGGCCAGCTATGATGCATTATTTCTTCAATTTTTTTGCGCATTAATTCTTCATTATTTCTTCAATATTTACCAATTTCAAAGGAAGAGAGGCAGGTTGAGGAACACCTTGCGATAGGATCTTTGAAAGGACATGAAGAAAATTGCATATACATGGATGCAGCTCAGAGAGGCTAGCTCAGGACAGGGGAAGCTGAAGAGACATTGTTGGTGGGCTAAGAGAGAGAGAGGACCTATTTCTACTTGTAAATCAGGTCTTGTCAATAGCTGTTATTGCAGTTATCAGCAGCTTGACACACAAAAGGGGCGAAAGGGTCAATCCTGAATTGTATTGACTCTTTCGCCTCATTTGCATGCCTTTTAAAACAAAAGAATATTTGACCGCAGACTCAACTGCAATAACAGCTATTTTAATTAATTACCTTTGCTCCAGCCATTTTATCCTCTGGATCAGACAACAGAATCCACTTCCTTATAACAGCATGAGCTGGAAAGTGACAGAGAGAAAGTCCCAGTTTCAATAAAAAAATTATGAGTATGGGCCCTCTGGGCATGTGGTGTAGCCTGATTAATTCAATGTCACTTACCCTGAGGAAGGAGAGAGGATTCATGAGTGACCTACGACCATCTTAGAATCAAGCTACACCTTCTGCCATCTGATGATACCAGGACAGCCAATTCAATTCAATCTTACTAATCTTCAATAAGGTCAATTTCTATAGTTAGGGTCAGGAGGTATATTGAAAAAAATTCAACAATGTAACATTGACAAGGTGAACTTCGTTCCAGACAGTTTTTTTCAATCTTCTGTTTTGTGAGTTATGCATCACTGAAACTGCAAATGGCATCAAACTCTCTTGAAACCATACAGACAACAATCAGTGGCAAATAGAATTATTGATAATATTAACATGAACAATCATTCTTACAAGGTTCATCATAGAAGAATCCAACATCACACTGCAAGGTAAATGAACATAATTAACGCCATACATGTAGACCTCATTTACATGATCTCGGCAACCCAAAAGACAACCCCACCTCCAAAGCAACTTTATTGAGCATTTAAATGTGAAAAAGTTGTTCCTGTTGACAAGGTCAAAGTTGTTCCTAAATGATAATCCTAATTAGATTTTCAAATTTGTAGTGATCCCTCTTTCCCCGAGTTTCCTTCAGTCATTCCATCACGGTGGGTTTTGCCAACTGAAGTTAATTTCTACTTCCTTGTAATAAGGTTCTGCTTTAAATTCAAAAATCTAGACAAGAGGCAAAGTGTAAATATGAGAAAAAGTTGTCTTGTCTGCCAGGGCTATGCCCACAACAACCCCCCCCCTCCACACAACACACACACACCTCCCCCCACCCCGAGGAATAAAAACAAAGTTAAATGTACTGTACTTTGAGCATTTTCCTTAACTCACATCCAGAGATTTGGTGACCCTAATGGGAGACCAGGAAATTCAGCCTGTGACCAGAAAACATCCTGATAATCTGGGAGTCAGTTGGTATAGATCAAGGACTACCGCAAAACTAGAAGAGTCCCGTTTCTCAGTCTAAAGATTTCTGAATTAATTTTGAACCTTAAATGGACTAATATACCTACAGCTACAAATCCTTATCACCTCAGAAACTCACCTGGAAACTTCCCACCATTGCATTTGCTCTTAATTTCTTCGAATTAAATACCTAAAGAAATTTTATTAAATATTAATTTTTATTACTTCCAAACAGAAGCATATCACCGAGAATAGGTGATATGCTTCTGCTTCCAAAACTAGTCAGAGCAAATTTTATGAGATGGTAAGAGTTTTGCTATAACATGGAAACAATATGCTTATATCAGAACGAACTGTTAAGTCTGTATCTAACATGACTGTATATGATTGCTAATTAGACATTTAGACATGTGAAAAGCATATCATGGGCTGCAGCCATAAGAAATGGCACCTACCATCTAAATTAGCCCATGCATGGACTTCACTTCTTACAAACACTGATCAATGGCACTTAAGGGACATTCACATCCAAATGGATCTTCAATAATCCACAATATTTTTTTCAAGCTTTTCTGTAGTTAGCTAAATAATGACCCCAGCACATGTCAGAGAGTGAGACGCAAAAAAAATGGTGGTGGGAGGGGGCCTGGGGTTGAGCACCATACTTGATTTGGAGGTAGAGTGTTTTGAAGACTGTACTGTTTCCAGAAGCCTTGGTCATGTGGCGCAATTTGGTTGCATGTGAAAAGAAGATGTTAAGTTTTAAGAACTTCTCGTATTCTCATGTTTTCATGTTTATGTCTTTTTTAGTCAAAATAAAGAGCATCAGTTAAGGAAGCGATTCATGAAAAGAATTTAAGAGGAGCTCAAGGTCATGGACGGTTTAAAACAGAGTAAGCTGCAGGTGAATTTAACACCACCAGGACCAAGCCCTTCACTTGATTACCTCAAATAGTGCCTGAGCATCAAACAGCTTCTGTGGTGTTACATTAAAGTTGAAGAAAAACACCTGTCAAGACAAAACAAATAAATAATAAAATTCAAGATTCTGTAGAACTCAGTGTAATAATTCTTATTGATAATGAGTGTGAACTGGCCTCAGAATCAGTCTGTAAATAGAACAAGGGAAAATAATTGGTCTAGTAGTGTTCCAAACATGTCCTCTGATCTGTTGCATTCTAGGAAATCAAAGGAAGTCTCATTTCCTGTTATCTCAATTATATTACAGACAAGCTTACAACTGTACTGATCAACACACTCTCTCCATTTATCATCAACCACACTCCATCATCGCTCACCACACTTGAGTGTGGCAATGATATTTATGGGTAAATAAGTAATAATTATATCAAACACGAAAGACTGTGTTTGACCACATTTCCAAACACCAAGAAGAGAGTTGAAAATACAACACGCAGCGGAGTATTTTTGACAAACTTTGAGGTGTTTGGAAATGTGGTCAAACACTGTCTTGAGTGTTTGATATGTCTTCTCAATCGAAACTAAAACTACGGAGAAAACGGAGAAACAAAATTGTAAAAATCTATGCTAATTAAGATCAGACATCCAAACACCATCACAGTCATGATTTCCTTTTGTTTAAACTTGATGAATTATTAATGAGTTTGAGAAGTACTGGTCAAATTCATGATGGGTGGAATTTACTCATGGAAAGTTTAATGTTGCTTTTAATGTATTTTATTTTTGTTAGTATTTTTGTCACAAATTGTTAGTTGTTATAATATTATTATAATTTGGAAATTATAAAGACTGTGTCAAAAATATCATCAATGTGGAAGGGTTTGGAACACTACTGGACCAATTATTTTCCCTTGACAATATACGCAAGTTAGCTGGAACCAAGGATTTTGTTAGCAAGGTTCAAAGTTTAACATTTTAAACATTTTTCCTGTATCGTAGTCTATTGATTGGCCCTGTACCCACTTAGGGTTATGATCAAAATCTAAATCTTTAGTCTATTGATGGAATTATCAGTTTTTATTGTATGATATGTTATCGCTTTTAATATCATAAATTTAATGTATGGTAGTTAGTTACCATAAATCCTTATATTAGCGCCGGGGTGCTTATTTCAAATTTAGGAGAAAATGGGGGGCGCTTATTTAATTTTTTCCAAATCGTGGCCTGACATATGATCATCTGTGCATAAACAACAACATAAGCTGTTTATCGACATAAAAAGCTGATCCTTAGGTTTAACTCGCGGCACCATCAGTACTTAACATGTTCAATGTGTTCACTTAATGTGTTCTCAAACTGAAACAATGTACAAATCCAATACTACACAACGAAAACTATAAATCCTTTGTTGGCTCAGTACTCATCCACAAAATAAACGAAGGTGAGGGGTGCTTATTCGAGGGGAGGCGCTTATTTCAAATTTTGGCCGATAGGAGGGGCACATATTCCAAGGGGACGCTTATTTGAGGGGAATGCTAATTCGATGATTTATAGTACAATGTACATGTATGTTAATTTTAGAAGTGGAATATCTGTAAACTAATGTAGCTGTATGGCTAAGCATATTGCTTCTTTAAATAAAATATCCTATCCTATCCTAGTACTGTACTTCAGAAATATTGCCCAGCCATATCTTCTTATATACATGTAATTAATTTTAACAAATGGATTCCACGTTGCTGAGTGCGTGTTCAGTAATGGATCACAGAAGATGTCATAACAGTGTGGTAAAACCAAAAAAGACATTAAAACCACATTTTGATGTCTACTGTCATCTATTATTGATCAGAACAGAAGTATGGTAACGTGGAATCTGCATGTTACATATCATGTGAATATTCCTTTTTTTACAAACCTCATCATAGAATGGCTTGTTGGTGGATTTAATAACCTTTGTTTGTCTTGTTTGATTGTCTATAGTCACACGAACCACAGGACTGATATTAGCTCCAGCCAACTGACGGCCCTCTATAATCCTTACTCTAACCTGAAAAATCAAACAAATGCTGTTATGCTTCCCATAAAGACTGCAGTCAAATTGTCTCAACAATTCCTTACCTGTTCGAGGCCTTTGGTTAGTTAGGGAGCATTGCAAAGAGCAAAGAACAGCACTTGGAAAAAATGGCAACAGGATTAGGGCAAGCTAGCCACAGAATTACACACAAATATCAAGTTATATTCTGGTGGATACACATGATATGCTATTGGATTTCCATTATTACTATTATTATTTCCAAGCACTATTGGAGCCTTAGTTTTAAATTTCTACAAAGTTGCATATTAAAAAAGTACCTTATGCAGGATTTCAAGATGATACATGTATCTCTGTTTCCTATAAATTATAGTTACTTCAAATACAGTAATAAATAAGATCAGAGGACTATACTCCAAGAATAAATAAATTTGAGGACAAATAAAGAACCAAACCTGGAAATCAAGATTTTTATCCGGTAGTTTTTTCCTGGCTTCACTTTTTGCTAGTAAATCTTCAGTGCCAGATGGCTTTTCCGGGGGTCTGCGATTTGTTAAACAACCAATTAACAGTACTGTTAAGTTATTACAATGTAGTTCTGTTGATCCTCCACTCTCAAAATAAAGGATAAAAATATAAATAAGTCCTCTTTCCTCTATTAAGATTCTATAGCTCCCTCCTTCTATCCCGGCATTTTTAAAACTGGGAGAGGGATCGAAGGGCGAATGGGGCACCAAAATGGTGGTCTGTGTGTTTGAGCTAATGTTAAGAGCAGGTGGATTGTCATATAAGTGTGCGCAGTTGAACCCCACCATTTTGAGCTTTCAGGGGAAATAAAAAATAGTTTGAGATAACATGGGTTTGTCAACCTACATTTTTTGTAGCTGCTAATAAATAACTGAAGGGCAAATCTAGGGGAAGTGGTTTTGAGTTTGAAATAATGTGGAATTCGAAGTAACCAAGTCTGAATTGTGGGGTCCAGTTCAACTATATTAAGTAATATATTTATTTAATGTATGCATGATACTGTGGCTTGAAAATATTTAACAAGTACACATTCACTATTATGCTGCCCTGTTTGCCCCCTTCTCTCCTTTATGTGAAAAGCTCCCAAGGGATTGTAGAGTTATACAGCAGGTGTAAAAGGGTACAATCAACATGTGATCCTAGGAGCCTATCAGGCTGATCAATACTTAATTCATGTTTATTAGGATAAGTAAATGTATGCAGTGACTAGGAGTGAGAGTGTCTTGTCAAGAAAAACAACACAATGACCTAAAGTAGTGTTTAACCTGTATCACCTGATCTGAAGGCCACTGCACTAACAATTAGACTGCAGTGTCTTCTACTTTAGGACTGTTGTGCCCCAAGAGAGCTTGAGTAATTGATCACTGACCCATCTAATGACCCACAAACCACCAAATGATTCACCAAAGTAACAAACTGACTGATATGGCCTTAAATAGATTTTTAACACATACTTTTCCATACTTCCACCAGCTGGTGGCTCTTCAGCTTCTGGCTTCTCATCTTTTGGCGGAGCTTTAGGAGTTTCTGGTTCACGCTTTGGTTCTGGAGTGACTGCTCTCTCAGGCTGAGGAGTTGTCGCAGGAGCTTGTGAAGTTGCCGCAGGAGGTGGTGGTGGAGTTGCAGGTGGGGGAGGAGGGGGTGGGGCTTCTCCTGCACCTTCCATGACAGCTTTTCAATCAAACCTTGAAGTTAATTCACATTTAATTACAATGGGTATACATATTTTTAATAATGGATGGGATGTGTATATAGAAATGTAATGATCTGGAGTAGGCAAGGTACTAGAGACCGGGTGTCTGGAAAACCCGAATAGCGGATAGCGAATAGTCGCGAATAGCGAACAGTCCCGAATAGCCAATAGCGAATAGTACAAATAGTGCGAACAGTGGTGAACAGTCTCGAATAGTGGCAAATAGTGGCAAATAGTGGCAAATAGTAACAAATAGGGTACCCAGTATCTCGCAGTTAACCTCGTAGCAACTTAGGATGGGATTTTTCCGCTAAAAAGCACAGACGCTTATCAGGACAAAAGGTGTTTCTAAACGTAATTTCTTCTGTTTTAACCGTTGATACAATTCACTCAAAAGGTAACAGGTTTGTGTGGGATGGGAAGATCAAGGCTACAGTTGACTTAGAACTTAATAACAGCTCTGTGGGATAGTGCATGTCTTCATGAAACAACATCTACATGTACCAATCAAATGTCCAGCAGCACAACTCATTAAGGCCACATTATATCCTGAATATTGTCAAGGGTAATGCCCTTGTCTGGCCTTGTCCTTTATTTTGCCTGTTTAATAAACATGCTGAAAAAACGTGGCAAACATATTTGGGTTATTGACCATGTGTGAGTTAAGATGGCTGGATATTTTAGCTAAGTATATTTTTTTGCATTTTTATGGACCAAGATGGAGTCAAGGTTCATTTAAACATGCCAAACAAGAACGAGACCAGTATCACACCATCTTGACCAAATAAGCAAATTATGGAAAATAACACTATTTTCTTGCAGAACACAGTTGGTAAACCCAAGTGGGCAAGGTAGCACCATCTTACCCGCTGGGTTAGCCAATCACAATGCTGAATTTAGTTTATCTTGCCTGCTCAAGAAGCTAGCTATATAATAAAGAGCCATTGTGACAAAATACACGTGGGCAATAACTCAATTTTGCTGCACTGGAAAGCAATTTCTGGCCCAGGATAAATTTCTTTATACAGCTCATACTAATACAATACTAGTACACATACTGTTTCCCTGACTTCCTTTATTCTAACCTTCACACACAGACCACAGTTGTGAATAGAACATGACTAAAAACTGTATACCTAATTCTAAGAAGTATAAAATTGTGACAGGCGAGAGGGGCCGGGCAGCATAACTTATTGACTTACATATACATGTACTGACGAGAAATAAGAATGTCTGGAAATGACCTTTCAGTAGCTATGTAACAGATACGGTAAATATTGCACGTCTTTCAATTTTCACCAATTGTAAATAACGTCGGACCATCAAAGCAAGAAGTAAAAATTATATAATTAAAAGTTAACCGATTCGCCTTTAAGCTAGGTACATTTCCAATGTGTGATGCAGCCATCTGTAACCACGGTACACAAACTGTATATTTCCCTGAGGCTGTCATGTTTTGATCTTGTTTTACTTGATTAGAGCCCTGAATTAGACTTCGAAATTTGCTCTGATGGTCCCTTTGGTTCCATCGATTTGATTTTTGGCTCGTTTTACACACAAACGTTCCTGATTTGCTACATCAATACACAGATCCAAAAACACATACAAGTTCGAAATAACGCGCGAAAGGCATTATGTGAATCAGTGCACAAAGTAGTTCCCAGTCTCTTCTGCACTGATCCTCTGGGGTCCGTTTCTCGAAAAGTTGCACCCTCTAGACTTCCCCGATAAATATCGGACCCGCTGGTCACTTGAAATGATAATCATGGCCACAGTAAAATATTACAGCAGTGTACTACCAGGTGTTCTTAGAAGGTGTATTCTGTGGACACTTCTAAATATAAATTAAACGCCTTATGTTAATTTTGATCGGCGTGCATCATATTTGACTTTTTAGGATATCGTATTTGTAATTAGTCTTAATTTCTTTTATTCTGATTCTTATCTCTAATTTTAGCCTTTTAAGTTATGTTTTCCCACACAAAACCCGCAAGCTTATTACCCTCGCTCGCTTTCTTTAGCTTTCGAGCGAATAATTTAAAATTTTGTAGCAGAACCAATCGTTATCATAAAAAATAAAATGCTTAAACCGTCTAAGTTTCTACCTGAAAAAAATGCCAGCTTTCTGTTATCCAGTCAAACCACCCGTGATTCAAGCTCTGTTGTTGTTATGGTTCATTTTGCAAATAATGTGATCCCAGCTGAGAGCAGATTTTGCTTTAGAGGTACAATAACAATCGAGTTTACTCTGACTTCTGAGTAAAACTGCGAGGAACTAATCTTTCATTGTATATTCTCTGCGCAAACTGCGCAAACAAAAATGAACGGTTGTGAACAGGTGAAAAGGGCAAAATGTGTGTCCAGTATCTGTTACATATATTAATACCAACTGGTCATGCGAGCCGATAAAATGTAAAATGCAAAATAATTATAAATAACGTTCCGTTGCGCATTCAGGATTGGTCTTAGACCTAAATTTCCAGAACTTTTCATTCTAGGTTATTTACTACTAATTCAAATCACTTGAATTTTCTCCACGCATCTTGACTACGCTTGACTACGCTCGACTCTGTCAACTAACGTTGTAGTTGAATGCCAGAAAATCAGAGCAATACCCTAGCTAAATGATCTGAATCAGATTAGGAAAATGAAATACCGTGATGGATTCAGAGACCTTATAAGAAATAGCATAACCTACTCGACAATAATATTTCGTGTTTGTGAATTAATTATTTCTTTGAATAGAGGAAGTTTAAGGACTGAATAATTATACGCAAACAAAATAACTCAATTTTGCGAGATCGATTAGGCTACGCAGTTCGTCACTTATACTTAGAAATCGTATTCGTCTATAGAAAACCTTGATAGATGTGTTTCTCTCTTCTTAGAGAAAATAATAAATAGAAAAGTGACAAGGCGAAGCAACGGTTAGCTCGTTTGTATCCGCACGTATCATTTTTCTTATGACGAGCCCGCTGTGCGTACCCTCTGTCTCAAGTATAATAGCAAACGAGTAAATAAGAAAAAGGTTTAAACCTTAACTGGGAATTAATTTTGACGATGTAAACGGAAAACAGCAGCTCCTATCTTTCCAAATTCACGTAAACAACCAAACATTTCAGACACATTACAGGCCATTATAACAATACTTACACAATCAATAACGGCCCTCTAATTCTTTTCAAAGGTGCGTTTAACTACTTATTTAAACGAAGACCCAGGCCGATATGGTAGCCTTTATATAACTTAGAATCTATTACACAATGCTGAGATGAATTCCGCTACGAGCTTCTAAGAACTGTGTATTGAGAGCAAGTAAAACGCTTTATTTGTAGGATGGTAAACATATGCCACTTCAGTCTCTTTGTAATTTAAAATGTCTTACCTTAGGGTGACTTTTCAGGGGTTGACTCAGAAGAGGAGAAATCAATTCTTTCAAATAACGCAAAAATCATTTCCAACTGGGTGATTCCATCGCGTTGACATTGTGTTCAACACTCAGGAACGTACCAGTAAAGGGAAGTTGACAAACACGGACCAATTTAACTAAAGAAATAATTAAAAAGGATGCCACCGCAAAAGGCATTTCGACAATATACTCACTGTGTCATTACGTTGTCATGTTAACGGTTTATTTCGCGAAAAAATTTTAACTAAGAATAGCTATTTACATAGGGCGGTGGGAATAATCACACAACTGAATTTATTTTCTCTTACTGACATCTCAGAAAAAGTAAACTAGCGCTACCAGTCCTTATATCCACTTTGCAAAAACTGGGCGAAAAGAAATGGATGTTTTCAAAAAAAAAGAATAATTAGAGACAAACAACGTAAATGATCACTGTTGAAGGAAGAAATAACTTTTAAATATGGTAACAGGTGCAGATCAGGATATGTATGTTATATGATCTTAAACAAAAGAACTGGATAGATGTATTTCCGTTCAAATTAATTTTCTGCACAGTTTTTACAAGGAGAATGGTCGATCGATCGATTTTCCTGGAGAAACTGTTTCTTTCATCTCCAAACTTATCCGATTATAACCAATTTTAATTACTTAACTTATTCATTTATTGTGACGTTCCTTTTGGCCTTATGGCCTTTGAATATTTTACTTTGTTTCATAATGGTTTAAGTTGTATGTCGATCACATTTAACGACACGTACCTTGCCATTCATGCGAGCAGAAAGCGATAGATCGATCATTGGGTAGACGTTCCCAGCGTCAATACAGGCCAGGGCGGTACCTTCACTACAGGTATTCAATTTTTTTAGTTCTCCGTTGAGTAGAATTTAAGCCTAATATTTATTTAACTGGCCGCTGGTCGGCTAGAGCAGTTTGGTGGCTCGTGGAGCTTGTTTCGTAACTCAAGATATAGAATACTTTTTTTTTTTTATAAGAATACATTTTTTAAGGATATCTAGGCTGAAATTGAATATCTTAAGAATCAACCGGTCAAAGCTGGGATTTTGAAAAGAATATCATTTTGTGTGTTGAAAATTTGTAAATACAACACAATTATATGTTTTTAACTAAACCGTATAAAATAATTCCTTTCTCTAAACGGCAAAGCTACCTGAAAAAGCAACAAAAACAGCACTAGCCGTATGTCGATGTATGTTCGATGCTAATCTGATAACATTTCTGCAAGAAGTTATGTGTGTCATAAAAGGCTTTTAAGCCTACAGGCATTAACATTATCCAGACACTAAATACATCGAAAACAGAAATTTCATACGCTATAAACTTAGAATATTCGCAAGAATACTTTCAGCTTAAAATCGGCAGAAAAATGAGAATATTCAGCCTTGCGGCCGGAAAAACAGTATCCTTACGGAAAAAAAAGCCCTGCATTGCTCGTTCATTTTACAACAAGTAGAAATTTTGATAACCTTGAGTTTCAGGAGTTATAACGCTTTTCTAGTCGCTGTATAGGATTGTTTCCCAAACTGAAATATTCAGACATTTTGCGGCCTTTAACAGTAACGAAATACTACGAGGTAGCTTGGGAAGAAACCATGGATCTGACGAACAGGAATCTAACTTTGTTGATATGACCGAAGGCAACCAAACCTTGGCAAAAGAGCCTCAGCTATCAGATCAGGAAAGAAGGGTTTAAATAGTACACCTGCTGTTTCGTCCGTTTTCGAATCTCGCCACGTCTGAGGGAATAATTGTATTCTGCAATATTGTATTGCGCACAGATAAAGAAAGATAGCCAAACTGATAGCACATAGCAACAGACTATACAATTTTACAATCACTTTCGAAAGTTTAAAAATGCTAACAGATCATTGATGCCTAGACAAAGACAAATAGTCCTGAATAACTGCTTTTCTTTCAAACTGGAGAAGATTAATCAATATGCATATTTACATATTTGCATATATGTTAAGCACTGGCAAAGATAGAGCTCGAGCTATCGATATGAGTGAAATTATTTTATGTAAGCATAATTAAAGTTGCGTTTTAGTATCGTATCTCTGTTTTCTTACAAGTCCTTTTCTAGGGAGACAAGAAAGGTCGAATTGACGATATTGTTGTTTAATAATGGTGAAATATTTTCGACGTTTAGATCCCTTGGATAAAAGTGTTTTTTGAAAAGAATTTTCTATAAAAGGATGAGTTCAAGGTAGTAGCATTTCTTGTTCTGTGAGCATGACTTCAACGTAGGAGAAAATGTAGGAACACTTCAATTTACAAGTCATCTGCACACACCAGAGAAAGTGGACAGGCGTACGAAACATTTAGCAATTTGCAATCTAACGTGATTTATGTTCGCTGTTCTTCAAATCAGCGAGATAACGAGATAACGAGACAAAAATGGAAGGGTGCTATGCAGGCGACAAAGCGGGTGTCATGTAACATGTTAATTCAGGCTATGCTCAAGCCATTAGTTCGCCAACAATACCCCGTTTACATAAGTTCTTTTTCAGTTTGGACAAAGAAGTAGGGACATAAATGAGAAAGTAAGGGACATAAGAGACTTAAAGACATAAAGGGGGGTTTGATAGGGGTGCGGCTGTATACAAAATTTGAAGTATACAAATAGGTTTCAAACGATAAAAGTGATTTTAGCGCAAGCAATGCATGGATGCTACACATAGCAATCTAATTAGAGTCCAAAACTCTATTAACACATCTTTAACTGAATCAGGTAAACGTAACAGTGAGAATAGCTGGTATCTTATTTCGATTTAATAAGTTTGTCATATATAAGATATTGGTTTCAGAAATAAAAAATTTAAAACAAATTTAAAAAGGCTAGCATCATATTAAAACAGTTTCCTACACTGGCGATTAGAACGGTGTTCCGTTATTTTTCTCTTTTATTTCCAAGAGCGAAAAGCACTTGAATTTGAGATAATAAGCAGGAAACAGTGGGTTTTGTTTTCCCGAGACCCTCCTTGGGTAACAGTAAGGGTCGAGTGAAACAAAACTCACTGTTTCCCGAGGGGCGCAGTTTCAAGATGCAATGACCTGATCACGTGCGGGCCAAAAGTTCAAGTTGTTGTTTCCCTGGGGAGTGACCCATGACACGTGACACGTTCTCCTCCAATCGAAAAACGTATGAGTTGGGATGTAAAAAAAAGCTGATGGTTTATTATTTGGCTTTTAATTTGTTTTCCATCGAATTTCTTAGGTCTTGATTTCAAACAAGAGAGGATGAAAAATGATTACTCTTCATAGTCATACTCTCGTGTCGCACCATATAAGCGTTGACGCAATCATTCTTCTAACATCGTGTTTTGCTTGTTCCCTCAACCACACATTGGTCTTTCCAATAACCTGAAATCCTCAGATGTGCTCGAAATCCTAGCCTGTTACCAGGTTCTAATTAATTAGGTGAGGGATTGCGGAGCGAACGAAGCGAGTCGAGGAAAAACTGGGCGTGGGTACAGTGGCAACCGTCGAGACCATGAGGTTGATCAATTACAACAGTCAGTTTTCACAAAATAACAAGGGTTTCTTTGTTTGCACTTAATTGCCAGCTTTGAATCTTTGACAGAAAACATAATCCACGCATGCAAGACGAGTCTAGCAAAGATTGAATATGTTTAAAAATGTTCATTTGAAATCTCGAGTTTCCATTGGAAATCGACGCTTTATATGGCGAGCTAGAGTTGAACTAGAGAGGAACCCTAGAGATGAACTTAGCTCGCAGAAAAGTGTCTTAGCTCGCAGAAAAGCGCCAATGTTGTGTACGGCAGTTTATAGAGCAAACGTTGTGGTTTGCCAGAGGGTCTCCACCTTAGATGGGTGAGGAGACATTGGTTTCGACGGTTCTTTGTGATTTGCTTCAGCAATTTTGGGGGAGAGAAAAAAAAAAAAACGTACCAACAGGGAATAGCTTTGTAAATTGCTGCGAATCGTCTCCTTAAAAAATGGGACCTTGGAACGAGATGACAAATATCCACTCTCTGATCTCTAACTAAAACCTCTCAATCACAGCACCTACAGAACTAACCAGATTTTAACAGAGGGAATTCAAAAGAGAAGTTAACCTCTGATCGGAATTGGCATTCATCTGTTTGTGACTGAAAATTCTCCCCGTAAGCCTGTCTGAAGGTCTGAAGATTTTAAAGCTCAACCAGTGGATATTTGCGGGGGGAAAGCAGAGTTGAATAGGCCATTTACGAGTTGCCTTTTGCCTCTGTGTCAAAACGAGTTTACGCGCGAAACCATTCATATGAAAATAAGTTCCGCCAACATGTTCATTTTCATACAAACCATGATCAACCTTTACGTCATAAGAAAGGTTTTGCATGAAGACTCGTTTTGAAACAGAGACAAACGGTAACTTGGAAATGGCCTATTGGAGAAAATCTCAAGAGTCTAGCCAATCAAATCATTTCCCCAGAGCCACGTTTTCCTTGTGCCAAGACCCCGCCGGTTAAGAGCGACAGATGGCTCTGGAGACGAGAATGAGATCCTTTTGATTCAAGTCTGTTGCCAGAGTGTTCTATTTCTCGTCTTTTCTGATCGGCTTGGGTTTAATTTAACCAAAAGATCATTCACTCAGTGTGGACAAGATATATCCCATTTATTGAAGCTGAAAGCTAGCTCACCATAGCAGCTGATTTCTGCCATTTTCAAAACAAAAATAGTTTTTCCACGAAATTTCTTGAGCATACCTCTAAATAGTTATCCTAGTCATAAACCACTATGACTGAGCTAAATGCTTACAATTTTGTAATTACATATGGAGTATTCCTCGATGAAGAGAAGCCTTATTCAGATAGTATCATTGAATTCACCTCCCTAACAAATTAACCAGCCTCCTTAAAGGAACAATTTACAATCTAATTTTCTTGTACATCTACAATTCCTGTGTTACATCTAAATCTCCTCACCTGTAAACGGAATTATGAAGTATTTTCAGACGAATCCCACAGAAGAGACAGTTCAGTGTTATATTCCAGGTCTATGCTTACTGCTCAGTTGGCAAACAGGGATTCATCGCCTGCGACGAAACTTTCGAAACAATTCAATTTGCCCTTAAATTCTCAAGGGTGGTAATGGAGGGACGTTTAAGGGGGAGATCAAGCATACGACAAAAAAAAAAAAAAAAAAAAACACTTAACGGTCACTTCACTGAACTACGAGTGACGAACACAAAATCACGGCAACATAAAAAAAAATTCTTCAAGTGTTATAACGAAAAATAAACAGTCATTTTACATTTCACGCCCAAAATAATTATCAATTCACGACTAAATATGTCACTACCAGCCTTTTTTCAACGTAAGTGATTACCTCCAGACATTTTCTATCGGCTTCAAGGTAATGAACTGACTGCGTAACAAAGAAAATGCGAACTCTAGCTAATTTTCTATCGGACAAGAGAAGATGTTTTGACTAATTCAATAAACTTGATTTCTGTTTTCTGAGAATAGGACTGCTATTAAGAGCAGATTTTTTCTAACTTGTCAATTTTTTTAAGTAGCGATTTTACAATTTATTATATATAACCCATGAATTGAATATGGCGATTTTTAAATCCGAAGTTATGTATTTACGATTTACTATCAATATATTAATATTATTAATATTTCAATTCTTATACTTCGATTAAATTCGATTCAATAGAAGACTGAACTGTTGTGTTAATTTTCTTGGTTTTCCGTCAGAGTAGACGATTTATACGTTGAATATCTTCTTCACAGAGTATCCCTGGAAAGAAAGAAGGCAATTAATTCGTAAATAAGAAAATGCATGAATGTAGATTTGTTTGACACTTTACAACCTTGTGAAATTCAACCGAACCTTAGCCTGCGAACGCTAACGTATTTCCGGCCGGGAGACAAGCGGCGGCCGGAAATACATCTGCGTTCGCAGGCTAACCGAGGTTTGCGTTGAGATTAGAAACTCGTTAGCATGATAACATTATTTTACATCTAAAAAGCAAGCTTTGTATCATAACCAGTCAACTCTAGCCTGGCGTCTGTTCAAAGGCCTGGCCACTGAGCAAGGAACTGTAAGATAGTCTTATTAACAAATTGACGTCAGTTTTTCATGCGTCTGTCCTGTTATTGATCATGCATTTCGTCATAACATGGTCAAAGTAGCTGTGGATCCACGAGGCGATAGCCGAGTGGATCCGCAAACTACTTTGACAATGTCATGACGAAATTCATTGTCAATAACAGGACAGACGCATGAAAAACTTACGTCAATTTGTTTTTTACGATAACAAATTGTCAAATTGTCCGCTCTCGCTCGTTGCCGCATCACATAAATTATAAATTCATGTGTCTGTCCGCTTATTGACAATGAAAAATAGCCAATGAGCGCGCGAGAATTTCTGCAGCTATCGTAAAATATCGTATCGTTAAGTCTGTATGATAGGTCAAATGAAAGAACTTGGTAACAATTTGAAACTATAGTGCTGCTTATGCCAAGTGAAAGTTTTTGGCGAACGAATATTTCACAAATAAGAACTCTATAAGTCCCACATTTAAGGGTTTACTGTGACTAACATTACTTGATAGAACGGAGTTCGAAAAGTGGGTTTTGCTGAACATGATCTGCCGGGTCGTGATAAATTTCAAAGCACCGGCATGTTCAAGGAACACAAGACTATAGCCATGAAAATTTGCATGAACGTTCTTTACTGCTGATATTAATTACTAACATCTCGAAAGAGCAACTTCGTAGACAAAGCAGTTCAGATTTTGTAAGAGATTTTTACGACATCGCTGAGGAAAAAACGTTGCGAGACCACCAAACATAAACGAAGTCGCCACGCAATCTTGATCACTGAACAAACTGATGCAAATACTTACCGGCATTGAATACAAGAAGATGACCACAGCGGCCACAATAATAAGGGTGATGAGTATAGCAATGATGATCCACTTGTAATTTCTCCATATGATGTAGCGTAGAGTCTTGAAGGGTGACGTGAACCACCGGAACGAGGTCGCGGGGCGACTGGGAAAGAAACAACACGGAATGCAACGTATGAAGAACAGAATATCTAAAACAACATCAGGACACCAGGAAGAACTTCCTATTGAAGCCTTGAAAGAGAAATTTCGTAGAGCAACCCAGGTTCTAAATTAATATTTAAACTTCACGGAAGGGAAAGCAAAATACTATGTTAAGAAGTAACAAGACAATGGAAGAATCGAGAAAACACCTTGGTTTTTCAGTCGAGTTAGACAGTTTGCTTTAAACATGAGGTAACATCACAAACGTGCGACAAAGCTGTCTTCAGCTGTTGGTTGAGAGTGTGCAAAATATCGATACCATAGCGCAGCGCCAATTGCTGCAAGAACAACTTACTTGGGTTCATCTAGAGTTGGATTCTGATTTGGCTCCTCTCTTCCTTTACCAGCAGGTTTAGAATCAGCTTCTTCCTTGGGTAAGAGCTCAATGGCCATTTCGACTTTACCCTGCGACAAAAAAAAAAAAATCTTTAGACTACGGCTTTTGAAACTACTCGGTTGGTTGGCCTGCTTGTGTTTATTTGGCTTTGTATCTGGCTCCAAAAGGTAAGTATTAACAGATTATTTCTTAGGCCCAGGTCAAACTTTGAACTTCACATCAGACGAACTAAACTGCGCGAATTAAGTTCTTGATAAGTTCGACTTTTGACTCGACAGAGTCCGTCCGACTGAATTTAGATCGACAACAAGCTCTATTCGTCTGAAGCCGACGGATTTTTTATTGTGTTCTGAGCAGATCGCAAACAAAAGTTAAACTGGCCATTTTCTCCACGATCCAGGACGAAATCATCACCTTCAGGATCTTGTTTTGATGAATCACAAAATTCTCCCAAGCAAAATTGAAAGAAATGTGCAGCAATTTTTAAAGAGAATTTGCAGTTTGATCATACCGTTAACTGCATCTCTTCTCCAGGATCCTGAGCCACACAGGGCCACCATCCATACACTCTCTTCATCTCAAACAGGGACACAGTCTCCACGCTGCTGCTCGATCGGCCTTCTTCAAACGACGGTAGCTGCTGTAAGCTGCATCTCCTTGCACTCTTGGCTGGCTTAGGCATGCGGTTAAGGTTCAGTTCAACCTGACCTGGAAAAAAAGTAGGAAAAAAAAAAAGAAAAAACACTATGATAACGTTCCTATATAATACCTCTTCAAATGTCCTGACTTTTCTTCAAACATTTTTATGACTAAACTGAAGGCTAATATAACTTTGCAATTCTTCAGATACATTCTTTCCAAAATGACATTCCTGACTACAAAAAAACAAAAAAGGGAATAAAAAACAAAACAAAACCAAAAAAACAACAACAGAAAAACAAAACAAAACCCATTCCTTATCAACTGCACAACCAATAACTTGCCCTCTGAAGCAAAAAAACAGTGTCTTGATAAATTGTTGACTTCATCCAAACAAACGGACCAACCTCTCTCACTTTTTTCAAGATGAGCTTTTTTTTAGAAGAAAATGGCCAATGTAATTTCCAAAGCAAGCAGTGCACACTGTAAGGCTCCTACACGACATAAGCATACCTAAAAAGTCGTCCGCAGAGAACTTGTCGTTGTCCCAAATTTGGATGACTAGACAGGGAGGTACACGTTCTTCTGTTTCATCTAAGCTCCAGAAGTGTTCCTACAATGAAACACCTTCATTAACACCTCAATGCAAAGTCTTATCTCACAAGGGTTCGACAGTCAAAAGCACTGTCAAAGGCTAGTTCAATGGATTCTTTGTGAATACATAAACATAGAGGCGAGTCGACTCCAATTAGAACGTTTACGACACACTGAAGCAGTAATACGCAGGAGCGTGACGTGCAAACCTCGGAAATACTTAGTTATCGCATTTAACTATGTGACAATGCTGTCAAATTATGTTTGGCACCCGCAGAAGTCGGTTGAGATCCTTGAATGCTTTATTGTGTCAAGTGTTGCAAAAGATTGTTTAGTCTTATCACAGCACGATCCGCATCATAGCACCCTCATTCTATTGGTTACATCCGTAGACATGTCTAGCTATAAAAGCACCATGATTTAGCGTAAAAGTACTTCCCTTCTGTGGCGTGCTATACACAGTGAACTTTGTTTAAAAGTAAAGAAAATTGTCATAATGATAATGGATTATAGGGGAATCCTTGTTTACAATATTTGCATATACAGTTTAGTTTCTCATGGAGTTACAAATAAATAAGTTCTGAATATGGAAAGCTCATAGTACCTTTAAATCTGCAAATGAATACGAGCCTGATGTACTGAATACTTTTTGTGCAACACGGGTTTAAAAACTCAAAATTGTACAAAGAATGTATGAGCTCATTAGCACATTTGCCATCCAAAAATTTTGCGGTTTTTGAATACAATATCTCCATGAATATTACACCCAAAGAGCTAAAAATCTCACCATGTAGTAAGTTTCACTAGCTTTTTTGCTGACTGGAGTTAATTCATATCTAACATGTTTACTCCTATTATAACACATTCAAGTAACCTCTCATGGAACAGGGACATGAACTCTCTAAGAATGAGCTCCAAACTTAAATTTCCCTTTACTTAGATGATAACCAAGGTCTTTTAGTCTCACATTGGCCTACTTGAATTTGACATAAAGGAACACGAAGGATTTTTAATCACTGTTAGAAAAGACATTTTCGTTACCTTCTTTCTAACGACCAGGACTTTCTCTGCAGCGAGGAACATGAATGGGAAGACAAAACGCCAGTTGAAATTTCCTTCACCGTCCAGAGATCTGAAAACAACAGAAATGAAACAAGAATGAATCAAAAGACATCTGTAGTCTGCGATAAAATGGTACGGTCACTCGTGGCTCAGACCACTAGCAAATAAGCGACGCAAGAAGGTTCTATAAGTAAGCTGATCTAGACTGGCAAAATTGACCTGCCAAAAATTTGTCCACAATGGTTTTTTTTTGTCAAGATTTGGACCCAAGTTGTTTCCTTGGTACATCTCTCGGAAGCAGTTATGCACCTTAATAGAGAAACGTGTGCGTGACAGTTACTGTTTTTCTCTTCTTCAGTCCTGTTTGCTCCTTACAAAACCGTCTGTTCATGTCGGGTTCAAAGGCAAGCCAAAGCCATGCACAACCTTAGTTTGTGACCTTAAAGGAGCACAGTCACGGTGTTTTGTCTTTTTTTTGGCCACGTACAAAATCTCCTTTAAATGGAAGGAAACCTGAATATAATAGTTTACTAAGATAGAAAAACATCAAAGAGATAATAATAAACCATAAAGGAACAAGGATGGTCAAGGATGGCGAAGATTGACACGGATTGCAAACGACGAATTTCAAAAATTTGGCCTAAACTTTTCAAAATGTGCAAACCGTGACTGAGCTCCTTTAACCCCGCAGAGGTTCCCCGGATTCTAAACCCAACGAAGAACTACTGAGGAGTCTTGTATCAACGTGTATTGTCCAATGTTCTAAGACGCCCTGAAAAGCGAACAACTGTCGGAGAAATATTAAACAACATTACTGGCTATCAACTATACCTGTAATGCACATCAGTTTTTTGTGATTCCTCGACTCCTGCAATCCATCTAGACACCAAATAAAAAGCATCTCTATAAGTCATCAAACGAATCGAGTTCTGAAATCACCAGATATTAAAGGTCCCTTACAATTCTTAATGAGTGCAAGTCCTCCACAACACTAAAACTTAAAGATACGCTATCAATCTAATTTTCGAGCCTTACAATTATTCGATGTATTCTTTTCGTCCCTTGCAAAAACTTAGAAGAAATTTATCGTCGATTTTTCGAGCATCCCGATTTTCAAACCAATATCTGTTCCCCAAGGGGGTTACTACTGTAGCACGAGCACCGCATATTGATCTGCATCGCATCGCGTTATAATTTCTTACTCAGCAACTTGTACAGGTTTTGTGCCAAGGGTAAATCCATGTAAGATAACTAAACAATGTAGAAAGCACGAGCTCTACGCAAGTGTTCATCAAAGACCTTTGGTGCTTTTAAATAACCACACTATTTAATAACATTTTTCTACGTTTATTTTTTCTTTTAGTCAACCAAAGCGCGCGCAGCATTAAATCTTAGTTATAGAATACGATGCACTTAGTACTTACCCCTTGACGTAAATGTCACTCATTTTCTCTCCTGTCAGCGAAGTCTCTTCTAAGATCACATCGCTTGTGTTCCAAATAATCACTCGCAATTCATAACTTGAAAAGGGATTAAGGCGAAACATCACGCCATGAACAGGGAGTCTTATAAATTAGACATTTAACTTCACAAATAGCAAAGTTGGTTTACAGACAAAAATAATTCCCTGATACTAATGCCCAGGAGCTCTCATAAATGTATGAATAGCTACTCCTTAGGGACCACTGTCATCCCCCTACTTAAAACACGAAAGCAAGTTGAATGCGCAAGTTCTGACCTGTTGACTGGAAAACAGAGCTACGATAACATGAAGTCAGACTTACTCTCCAGGCTTGCGAGGATTGATATCAAACGGCGAGCTTGGGGTCCCCAGATGCTTCGGGAAAATGTCCACCCACATTTGCAGCTTGCCCTGCAGGGACAATACAAAACAGATACTATAGTAAAGCACACTAAAAGACTTTCAAAAGTACTTACCTGTTGTTGATCGACGTTACGTAGCTGTGCCTCCCAAACCTCGGGGCATACACTCTGACCAATCACAACAATAGCGTCGTTTCAGCCAATCAAAAGCAAGACCACAACCAAGCATAACTTCACGTGCGCGCGTTTTTCCTGCACTTAACACTCATTCTAAACATTCTTAAACTCCAAGTTTTGGTGGGCTTATTCTTCCTTTCCGCACCGAAGTAATAACTTTGGTTCGAGTTTCAAAAAAAGTCGCAAGTATTCTGTAAATTCTGTAAGTTTTGTCACGTGTTGTGGGTCAAAACTCACTAACTCCCTAGGGAAACAACTTGAACTTTCGACTCGCACGTGATCAGGTCGTGCTCCTTGAGACCGCGGCAAATTTATGAGCCAGCCGGCGTCGAACAAACGACTTCTTCGCAGTTTTTTTTTTCTATTTTTGAGTTGGGAGGTATAACAAAACACTCAATGACTGGCCCCGCGGGAAACAGTGCGTTTTGTTTCCCCGTGACCCTCAATGTTCCCCGAGGCGAAACCGAGGGGAACATTGAGGTCGAGGGGAAACAAAACTCACTGTTTCCCTTGGGGCCAGTCATTAAGTGCTTATTGTCCCATCCATCGCTAATAGTAATGGTTCCCACCACCCGTTAAAAACAACATACTTGTACCTGTTCGACGTTAGGTTGGAGGGTGTTATACAAGGCTCTGGTCTCCACGTGTTCAGGTACCACAGGCATGGAGTTTAACACGTGCAATGCTAACCGCTGGTCAGGTTGACCCAAGTGAGAATGAAACAGCATGCCTTCCTCTGTTGGGCAAAACGATCGTTATATAGCAGATTTGCAAGATATCGTCATTTGACCACAACTACAGTTTGACCCCGGGATTTTGAACTCGGTTATTTCGAATTCCCCGTTATTTCGAACTCAAAACCATTTCCCTTGGATTTGGTTCAGTCATTTACTATCGACTATTTTCGTTTTCCCCGAGAGTTCGAAATAGCGGGGTTCAACGGTACCGGAATTCACTTTGTTGTTCCTATATTATTCAAATTTTGAAGCCCAAGTGTGGTTTAAATAACAGTAGCCCTAATCAGCATAAGAAACAGAAAAAGTGAAGGATTCTGGTAGGTCAAATGACGCTATCATGCAAATCGCCTATTTCGATATGAAGATATTCTCATATCTTGAATTCTTCTCCCTGACTGCCATATTAGTTACAAAAATTTGAAGGCAAACCACAAAAATGAAATGTTACATTGATGAAATGGCATACTAGTCGATGCCAGTGCCTTCCAAAGGTTCAGTAAACAGGGATTAAGCCCTTGCATAAAGAAAGTAAAGGGGAAAAAGGGAAAAATATCTTAGACTTTGAGTGAGATTTGCATCCACGACCTTATCTTCAGTTGTCCCACGAGTCGGATAAAGCTACAGAAAACCAAGTCCAGTGTGGTTTGATGATGACTTTCTTTATTCTCGACACAGGTAGGCCTGGCAAGAAACTACTTGTTGAACAGACTCCAGAATTTGAAGAGAGTCTAGCTTACCGTACTCTTGCAGATTGTAGACCTTTCCATCCAGTACAAGCTGAGTGTTTCCAAGGTACTGGGGTTTGCTTAAATTGTTCAACTCACACCAGTACTCCAAGATCTGACGAGGCGTCTGAGAGTCACGCCATTGGTTTGGACCAGACCTGACAGTCAAAAGAAGTATGTCACGCGAGTCACGCGATTGCACTCTCTCTAAGGCAGTTAAAAGCTGCTTTTCGTTGCATTTTTGGTTTGGACCAATGTCGTGAGTTAACCGTAACGTTAGTCACGCCATTGGTTTGAATCAAACGTGTTAACATTCACATAGGAGAGAGATCAAGAACCAGGTTTCGATGGCACCCAGTTTAGTTAATGCAACTCCGGGTTCAACAGGTATGATACTAAATGTCATCACTCCTGTCATATTCATAATCAGCATCTTTGTGCTAAAACAACCCCAAGAGCAGTCAAAGACCCTTTACAAAATATTAATGATGTAGGCTAGAAAGAAACACTCATTAAGGGGACATCAAAAGTGTCCACATGGCCGACATCTAAGTCTTATATTGAGTTTCTTCTGTTCTTGTCGTTCCTTGAAGTCAAAAGAATCATCACATTAAGTCTTGGTACTCACGAGCAGTAGGTCTGCGGCAGTCCACAAGTAGCACGAAAACGAGACAAGAACCTGTTTTCCAGATCCACAGTCGTCTCACCAATCAGATCGTCTCTGCCAATGACGTCATAATCCATGACACAAATGCGCAGGTCCTTGATGATAGGAATGGTGGCGCTCATCTCAAACATCCTGGCAATTGGAGAACACAATGTGCTCAGATATGAACCAAAAGAAATACCTTATTGCACGAAATTTCTGCGACACGTTTATTTCGCGATTTTGAGGTGCGCAAATTTCGCGACACTTAAATTCCGCGATTTTACGAAAATTTTGTATTTTGAATCACTTTAAATTCGCGTTTTTGAGTAACACAATTTATTTCCTTGGCAGTGTTACTTCATCATGTCCTTGAATTTAGTAAACCGACTTTATCAAAGGTACAATAACGTCAAAATTAACAAAAACACCACGGCGGAACTACATCTCAACAGTAACATAATGTAAGTCACTTTAATTTCGCGATTTTAATTCGCGAAATTAACGTGTCGTGAAAATTTCATGTAATTAGGTATAGGAAGTGTGTCATGTAATATCGGGTTATCTTTTACGATATACAGCCGCTACAAATCTCAAAAGAAAAAAACTTAACTAAGGAAACGTGCAGGATTTAGCATTCTTCAATGAGAAATGTATCGCGATGTTAAACATATTGTATTTTTATGTGATGTACAAATGAACACACGCACCACCCTCACCTAAACACCAGAGGGGAAGAGAAAAAGATAAACACCGAAAAGACACATCAAGGCGCACACAGTGGATAGCCTACGGGAGCATCCGGTTTTTCAGCTCTCGTTTCACGCGTCTAGAAAAAACATGAAACAAGGGCCGAAAAAAGCGGATGCTCTCGCACGCTACACAGTGGAGAAAGAAATACAGAAGTTGAGTGTATGATCTTGGGCCAAAGCATCAACTGCTCTGCGTGATAGGTATTGATGGATAGAATTGATTTCCTGCTTTCTCCGGCCCCAATTCTCACTTTTAACAATAAGTCGCTCGAAACTTGGAAACCAGATCACGAATAGCGAATTTGAAAAGGTCTTCTTACTTTCCAAACAAAGGATTCAGGTTGTTGGGTACGTAGTTGTCCTTGTCAGATATCTTAGTCTTCCCCATATGTACGACAAGGTAAGGATCAGCCAGGCCGCTGGTGTCCTGTGGTTGAAGGTCTAAAGCCTTTAAGAAAATAAACAACTTATTAAAATCTTGCCCAATCAATTTATACCTGTGCAAATCTTTGGAAGTTTTACCTTAGTTTCCCCTTCCTTGGTTTCCACAGGGTTGAAAGTCTCCAAAATTCAAACCCTTTGTAGAATTCAAGTGTCCTTCGCAGCCATTATTTGAAAAGTCACATAATGTTCCTCTCAAGAGGAGGAGGGGGAGCGTTGCGTGACGAACATTTAACATCGCGGGCCCGTTTTTCGAAGGTCCCGAAAAGTTTTAGCACTTGGAAAGCCGCAGCAAAAATCTCAAAACTTATGATTACAGAGCTGTTTTATTCCCATATTCTTAATAAAAACAGACGTTCCACTCCGTACAAGAAGTTTCAGGCGTATACACCTCTCTATCTTTAAATACCGATTAACTAAAAAGGCTTTTCGGGCCCGAAAAGTTTCTGGGGCTTCTGAGAAACAGGCCCCAGGTCTGGATGGCCTAGAAATTATATACTATACCGTTCAACACATGTCTATTTCACATTTCGGTTGTCATGCAATTTTTCTCCTCGGCGGAAAAAAAAAGAAAAACAAAACGGCTGCAAAGAGGACCACACTTCATTCCATGTTATACATGAATGTTACTTAAATGGAATGAAGAAATAGAGCTGCTTTCTTACCCGCACAATATATAATCTTATAACACACTCCACAGGTTGACTTGGAGGCAGTTTTCGTAGAATCTTGGGCGGCAAAGGAGCGTTTGGGTCACTAGGTAAAGGGTACAACCGAAAAGATCCCTGAAAAGAAGGAAGAATAAAATTTCAATTCTCCTTACAAATTGCCATATATTTCATTTAATCTTAGTTTTGAGAAATCGTTAGTATATCAAGACCAACTGAAAGTTTTCCAATAATCACGTTTTCGACAGAAACAGGGCTTTTTACGATAGGCCATATTACAATTGAGTGCTTAATTACCTGACCTATGAATGCAAGCGAGGCTGGCGGTGACCTTGCTTTGATAGAGACCCCTCTGCTTTTCTCATTCAAATGCGAACTAGTTAGCATAAGAGCAACTTGATTCACACAACAACAGCAATGAGGTCTTAATTAAAACTAGGTCACCGGCAGCCTCGCTACCATTCAAAAGCCAGGTCACTGAACAGACAACTGTAAAAATGGTCTGTTTGAGAACTGTTTTCGAATGAGGTTAATATTGGCACGTTAAGAGCAACGCAATAAAAATTTCATTACCGGATACCTTGGTATTGTCTTTGTTATCAGCCAATTTTCAACCCTATTATAACTATCTGGTCTCACAAGAGCAAGCTCTGGGATGATTTATACCTTTATTTAAAGGAGCTACCGTCACGGTTTCGCATCTTGAAAAGTTTATCCTAAATTTTTCAAGTTCGGCGTCGTTTGTAATCCGTGTTAATCCTCTCCGTCATTTAACCATACTTGTTCCTCTATGGTTTATCATTGTCTCTTTGGTGTTTTTCTGTTTTAGTAATTACAGGGTTCGTAACCTTTTTCAGAAACAAATTTCCAGGACTTTTCCAGGACTCAGATTGATTCTTCCAGGACTCTAAAATTCACATTACCCTTTCACTCCCTAGATCTCAATGTTAATTCTCCTTACTGTCTGCCGTACATTTCATATTTTTTACTCGAGTTTAATAAATTTCCAGAACTTTCGAGGATTTTCCAGTCCTGGAAAATGCCACAGTAAAATTCCAAGACTCCAGGTTTTTTCCAGGACCCGTACGAACCCTGAGTAAACTACTATTTTCAGGTTTCCTCCAGTTTAAAGGTAGTTTTGTACCTGGCCAAAATAACTCAAAATGCCGTGACTGAGTTCCTGTAAGTGTCAGTAAAATGCTAGTAGTGATAACATCACTAATTGAGGACACTCCCTAGAATTCTAACTTCACTTACCTTGAATTCCCCTACAATAGTCTCCTCCTCTTCTGATTTCGACTTCACTTTTCCGCGGTGAATGTAAAACGTTTCTACAAAGTCTTGAAAGCCATTGAACACTTCAACCTTCTCAAGCTCTGTTCCGTAAACCTTGGGAAAAAACATGATTCATTTGAAATTCCCTAGTTCATAACCATCCTTCAGATAATGTTTTATCAAAGGTCCTAGTTCTGAAACTTCTGAGTTCCAAGAATTAAACAAATTCCAATTCGACCAGGATAGAGGACGCGCATGAAAACCACCTAAGGTCGATGTGGCTTCCTCTCTAAATATTGCTATTTAAACAAGGAATCACTCAGCGATTTTTTATCACGAGAAGAGCTTTTAAAACCATTTGGACATCATCCTCGAGTTAGACTTAGAATTATACTACGTAAATCCACACATCGAGAGGAACATATATGATTCTGTATAAAGGTAAGCTGGCTGAATAGCAATACTCTCGTGTAAGATCTTTCTGATGAGAAAGGAAAGGTCCTTCGCCCTCTCCTTATCTAATCCCCGAACGGAGAACCTGTTGCGGGTATAGAGTAAAGATCCTTCCTCAGAGTTGTTAGATTTCCAACAGAAAGAAGCTTTGCATCTTCTTACCATAATCTTATCATATCCTTTTTCCAAGTACACTCCGGCCTTGTCGATATCACCAACAGAGGCATAGAACTTCGACCACCAATCAATGTCTTCATCTTGTTGTTCCTAACAAAAATACAAGACCACTTAGTTATCCTATCCAGTACACTTAGAGAAATTGTTAGACCATCACCAAAATTGACAAATCAAGCTTGCGCGCATCCACGGGGAGTAATGCAATTCTCTCTAATTCCTGAATGTCAGTTCATAGAATTTGCTGATACATCGTGACAATGGACCATTTGCGTATTTTCGGTATTGTACAGGAACTAACTTGCAACTAAGACTTATGCGAAGAGTCTTCAAATACAAATGACATTAATCTCTTTTTAACGATATTCCCCGCACGAGTCTCCATTGCAAGCTAAATCCAGTCCAATACCAAGAGTACGAATATAACCTATTCCCCCGTGCTGATGATCTTGTTGAAGCCCAAACGGACGCGAAAGTAGTCGCAAGTAGCCGCAAGTTGATCTTGCGAAGAGACTTGCGTTGGATGGCCAAACGGACTCGCACGTTTCCTCGCAAGTACACGCCAACACACAAGCCGCAAAAACCCCAAGGCACACATATCCTATATAATATTTCACTGGCCAATAAAAATTTATAGACGTCACTAAACATACGTTCACTTGGGTTGAGTGGCCAGATGGTGAAAAACTTGCATCGACTTTCGTGCATATTTGATCTCGACCAAAGTGAGCGCAAGTCATCGCAAGTGCACGCAAGGCCTGGCCAAACGGACTTGCAAGTAGACTCAAGTTTTCAACTTGCGTCTACCTGCGAGTCCGTTAGGCCAGGGCTTAAGGAGAAGTTCTATGTTGATAACTGTTCCACTTACGGCTCCTTTCTTCTGCTCCTCCTTGATGTCCATAATGTGAGAGGAACCATGTCTGGTGGCTTCACTCTCCGCTGGAAAACAAAATACGGCCACGAAACTATCAAATGCTGCTACTACATGCGGGATTACCAGTGCAGACAGCTCATATAGAGAGCAACGCAACTTTAAATGTTAATGTAGACAATAGTGTTAAAAACATGTTCGGTTTTATAACTACTAACATTCTGTCGACTCGTCCTCGTCCTCTCCTGTTAGAGGATATGATTCCAGCACTGTTTGAAAAGGATGTTAAGAAACTTTTGAATACCATTACAAAAATCGTGTTGCAATAACGGAAAGCTTAACATGTTTAGTGGCAAAGTGAACGATGTTCATATACTTTCAGATTCTTTACGAACACTGGAACTAAGCGCAAGCTCCTTGCGTTAAACTGATGTGAATCTTTAGCCTAGCACCTCACCCGTCTGTCACATTACCTATGTTGATCTCAACACCCTGTATGAGAGTTTTCACGCAACGATTCGCCCCTGTTAAACAGTTGCGTGACGAAAACAGCTGTGAACAGGAGTCTAGCATTATTGGCATGAATTTACATACGTGTACCAACTAACCTAAAGGCAGTTCGACTGGTTCATCTGCACTGGCGGGCTCACAGCGGAATTTCTTCATGGCCTTCATGGAGTGAATGCCAACAACAGGTTTGCGACCAAATGAGCGGTTATCATGCACCTTGATGTTCATTGGCGGCGTGTACAACTCCTCCTTTGGGAGGTACTGTGGGGTGAAATATTGCACAGAAAAATAAGAAAATGCAATCGCAAACGTCTACAGAGGAACCACAAGCGGTTAGGCCGCTGCTGATACCCAGATGGACCCAGTATACTGGTTGTTGTATAGGTGTTCTTATAGGGGGGGTTCATGCTGACGTCATTGTTTAAATTTTTGTTCATTTGCATAAAGCTTTGCGTACAGAAGGGAACATGACGGATGTTCGATATGAATTGACTCCAGGCAGCTTAAGAGCTAGTGAAACTTAATACATGGTGAAATGTTCAGCTCTTTGGGTGTAATATTCAAGGAGAAATTGTCTTTCAAAAACTACAAAATTTCTGTTTGGCAAAAGCGCTAATGAGCTCATACATTCTTAGTAAAATTTTGAGTTTTTAAACCCGTGTTGCTCAAAAAGTATTTAATACATCAGGGTCATATTCATTGGCAAAGTTAATCGTACTATGACCTTTCAATATTCAGAACTGAGTTATTTGTAGCTCCATCAGAAACTGAACTGCTTATGCTAATGAGGCAAATATTGTAAACAAGGATTCCCCTATAGCTTCAAATACGACTGGGACATCTCTTCTGGACATTGCAAGAGAGTACTCTTCAGGGACGATAATAATCAGAAAGGAAATAATTCCATCTGTTAGTTCTAACAAAAGCTATCATTCGTACGTATATTCCATATTTTGGGGTAAGAAAAAATGGTAAAGCAACTGTAAAATGGGAACACTGAATTTGATTACAAAAATAAAAGGAAGTGACGTCCCTAACTACTTAACTGCGCCTTTCACAAACGCGTAAACTCTGATTTGTAGATTTTGATCCATTTTATATGTTTCTTTTCCTCAATGTTAGTTGGTTGTCGTCGTACTTTTGATTGAAGGTAGCCAAAAACGAAGTCGTTAGTTAGGTTTTGAACTTCAGACTTCAGAGATATGGAGGTTTTACAATGCGACTTCTCGAACCGGCCAATTTGGAAAAGAGTTAACGAATCAAAACGTTACTTAAGAACAATCAAAGGATAGCGATCTTTTTCTCGACTAAACCAATAACATTGATGAATTCAGTACACAACAATAGATCTTAACAAAATCAGTGAGAATTGTTGCGAGCCTCTCCGGAAACTTTTCCATTTGTTGATTGGTTAATGTCAATCCTAAGGTTTGTGCGCTTTTCAAGGGTTTCGGTTTAGTTGTCACTAAATGAGTTTTCAAGCTAAAGTTTTCGAGCAAGATTTATAATTAATATAATTCGCCTTCAGGAACTGAATCTCTAAGGGTGGATATAACGCAGAGGAGTCGATTGTGTTTATATTTTCACGTCAAACAGACCGTTACTGATTGGTTAGTTTTCTTCTAGGTGGCCTGGTTCGAGTAGTTGCACTGTAAGCTCGATTCATAGACGTCAACCTCGCGGGAACAAGGTACGCACGTGACGAGAAACTTCCGTTTTCCGATGTACTACACTGCACTTCAAAACTTGATACTAACAAAAAAAAAAAAAAAACTTACCACGTCGAAGAAGAATAGTGGCTGATCAAAGTTGGGATTCTTCTGCGTGTTCTTGATGACAGTTGAATGAACAACATGTCCACCACACTCAAACTCAATGCTTGGTGAGGATACACTGGCTAGTTGATATCTCTTCATGTTCCTGACGCCCCAGCACAACACCTGTAATGGAAAGGAATTCATAATGGGCTTACCTACTACACGGGGAGACTACCGCAACAATAGTCATTTCTGTTTATATGAAGGTATGAAGAGAATTAATTGAAGCAATAACGATACAGGTGGACATGGAGGTCATCGTGAAATCATAAACCTATTGACTGGACGACAAATTCAGATGATAAGTTACATTGCAGATCAACATTTAAAACGAAATGGTAACTTGCAAATTATGGTTACAAAGATGATGATAGTTAAGTCTATTAACGGAATATTCATGTGACTTAACTTGCATCTTTTTGTTAAGTGACCAGATATCTTCTAAGGAACATTAGAGACCTTGTAATATTCCCACTCACGAAGAATCTGGTCTTCCCCTACATATTGGCCAATTATCTGCAAAAGTTGAGTTCTCCGGTCCTAGTAAAACAATCTCTTGCTATATTTTAACTATCGGGTAAACAACGTTTACTAAGCTGCATACCTCTATAGCCGTACGCTGCATCACTGGTCTGATTCCATTGGGTACTAGAAACAGGGGTCCCTTCATCGGTGGAGCAAAAGGTAAATCTGCACCTTCATCCTGACGTAAAAAGGACCAGAGGATATTAAAAATGATGCGAAATGCAGCTTTACTTCCTTCATAAAGTTTATTCACAGTAATATTACAAACCAAAATCGAATCGTACTCCACAATCCATGCACCAGATTAAAACCAAATGCAATTCTCGTCCGAATCAGAGCAGAACAGATGACCTTTCCTTGGTTATTTGTCTTGACTGATTAAAATAATAACTCATGATAAGCTTTCCTTAAAATGGGTACCAGGCAGGAACGTTCCTTTTTGTGTCAGCTTGCGTAATGCCGTTTCAGAAGACAACACATTCTTATCTGAAGGTTATCACAGCAAAAGAACTGTAAGTAAAACATTTAACTCTAGTCTCACAGAAACAACCACAGTATTCGTAGTTGCACTTACCAAAAAGAGTTCAAAGGCGGCTAGTATCTCCCCAGCTTCCTCTCCGACTCGTGTGACGTCATACCATAACAGCCTGGGTGCTGGTGGTTCCTGTCCATTCATCTTCACAAGCGGAGTGACCACGCAACGACCCATGAACTCGTCTTGACCCTACGTACAAAACGTTGAAGATAATCGCTTATCTTCGATAAAAGCTTTAAAACTTGTCATGGGTGGTGGAATCAAAATGTGAAATGAACCGGCGCAAACGTTCTTGTGTGGGGAGCTACTTGATTTTCAATTTGCTGGAGAGCTGCTACGTTAGTTTCTCAAGGGAAAAGCAGTTTGCATTGGTCTAGAAGTAGCGTAGTGAAGAACTAATTAAACTGAAGTCTCTCACATCTCGAAGAAAGGTGTGGGAATCAGTCAGTATCAGTTTTAGCCTACCCAATAAACTTAACCAATAAAATTACTTGCCTTAACCTAACCTAACCGATAACATCGTTTAGAATCCCAATCAGCCGAAGGTGAACCAGTTACTTTGCTTTCCTTAACACAAGAGGAGTGTCCCGAAAGAGGCTTACGGAACACAACACTGTATTTGAATAAACACCGCCAGCAAGTCACATCATTGCATAACAGCGTTGCATGACAACTTCCAGAGCTAATTCAGCATCGCAGTCGTCATTTGTTTCGTCACGTTACACTGATGAGAAACGTGACGTGATGACTTCAGTGCTGACTAACCAGCGATCAGGCGTTCGTTTTTTGGCGAACGGGGCACGGGGGAAAAAAGAACGCCATATTGCAGGTTAGAGACTGACTTACCACAGGGTCTTTGTCAAACAGCTCGATGATAACCTCAGGAGGGTGCCTAGCAACTTTGTCAATACTGCCATAAATCTGAACGTTCTCAAAGATCAAGGTTTGATCCCACGTTGGACATATTGTGCTTGTTAGGATTTCTGTGACTTGACTTTGAGTACCAAACACTACACGTGCGTAAGGGTCTGAAAATAACACGAAAAATACGTGATCTGTTACTGAACAGACGCAAGGCAACATGGAATCTAGAATGACAACATATGTGCGTCTGTCCTCCAACAGACCATACGTAGGAACCAATCAAAATGCCAGAATAATTTGACTTATTTAACAAATAAAGAAGCCTAAGCCGTGTATTACACTTTGATAAAACACGACGGCCCCTAGAGAACACGAAGGAAATGTAGAAAACACGGCCGCAGACGAGTGTTTTCTACATTTCACGAGTGTTCTCAAATGTCCGGAGTATTTTATCACAGTGTAATACACGGCTTAGGCTTCTTCATTTACCTTATGATATAGATTTTACACGCGCAAAACAATAAAACACGCTTTTTCTATGTTTCATACTCTGATAAAACACGGGTTTTTGACCAATCAGAGCGCGCGCAGGGTCCTATCTATAATATAATATATAGTAGTAACTACAAATATTATAGCGACATGACGAGACTGACAGTGCTAAGATGACAGTAAAATGTTTCAATTTCTACGAGCAAGTAGTGGACGATGCGCAGCTACGCTGTGAAAATTTGTGATGAAAAACTTCAATGAACTATCTATCAACATCATTCATCAAAATCGAATCAATGTTAAAATTTCAAAATATGAAAATATAAGCACAGTCTCTGTCAGCAAATACAAAACCATAAAACGGTCAAATTTACAGGATCGCAATTAAAACAAGGAATAGTGTTCTATCCAATTAAGGCGCGTGTACCATCCAAGCCGTGTCATAACACACACAGTAAGATGAATTTTCCTTATTTTAATCTGTGTATTGTAACCTGAGAAGCCATCTGCATCAGACGCAAGGAGATCACGTGCTTGGTAGATGTAGGCCCGCAACTGGTACTTGTGAGGCTCTGCAAGGTAAGAACTGTAGGTTAGCACTAGGTAAGCTAAACAGTACTTAACAAAGCTGCACAGTTAACGCCAAATAAAACAACAACAACCTGTGCATATACGTGATATAGGTAAAAGTAAATGCTTGCTTTTGGAGTCGTGTTTCTCACTAAGACAACATTGTAAGAAGCCACCTTATCAAGAACGATTTTCATTGAAGTTAGACATCTTTCTACCCTAACCACTACTAACTAGATGTTGTTTGCGAACTGTACAGTGATTACGACTCGTAGGGGTCCAGTCTCAAACAATAAGAGGTGGTTTATCAACGTTAAGTGGAATAATGAAAAATAAACAATCTGAAGCAGCCAGACTTAAGAACAGGCTTTCAGTGATTTACTTACTGTCAAATGTTATAAACATTCTGGGAGCATTCATCATTGTCTCTTGTTCCTTGTCCTTTAAAACAAAGTAACACAAACTAGTTAAATATAGAATAGTCGAGTGGGAAGTGCAACAAATTACGAGACTTCAGTACGAATACTGCATAAAACCCACATTTTACTAGAACGGTTTTCAATTGAGTGTAGTAAAACCAAAACAAAAGTAATCACTCTAGCCAATCACAAAAGACACAGGTAATACAGTGAACCAATCAAAACTCGAAGTAATTACATGCAGCTGACGCGAAGCGCGGGAAAGCGTGTGCGAACGAACAACGATTGGTTTTGGTTTCACTTCTGATTGTAAGTGGCGCCAGTTTTTTAAGCCAATCGCGTAACGTAGTTGAAGTAAAACCAATACCTTTTGGGCACACAATGAAAACAACTCGAAAACCAAACCCAAAGTTATCACTTTAGCCAATCACAAAGTACACAGACAATACAAAGAACCAATCAAAACTCGAAGTAATTACATGTAGCTGACGCAAAGCGCGAGAAAACGTATGCGAACGTATCACGATTGGTTTTACTTATGATTGGATGAAACAGTGGCGCGAGATTTTTAAGGCAATCGTGAAGCGTACTTGATGCAAAACTAACTTTTCCACACTCAAACGAGAACCGCTCTAAATAGCGAAGCGCACGAGTCACGTCATAACTCAGACAAACTCAGACAAACAAAAATGAATTGTGGAAGACTTGACGCTTTTTCAAGCGCGTAAGCAAAACGAAAATTTGGCGTTCATTTTCCTATTATTTCTCTCAGAACACGCTTATGTTGTCTGACTCTCGCGGGGTTCCAATCATTTGCATTCTATTTTTACACTTCGCGCGCTTCGTTATTCACTTTTCTGCATTAAACAAAGGAAGACGTAGACCTCCACACCCAGGCCACAAATTTGCGTCGTTTGTCTTTCAATGAATGTAAAAACGTAAAATACAAGTTTTGGCTTTCTTTCTATACCTCCAACGATACACTATGGCAGAGGGAACTGGGAAGCTACAATAATGAGAATAAAGAGGAAATCACCCTTATCAAATGAGAACTTAGTTTAACAACGTTGAGAAACACAAAAAAATAATTTAGACTTCACAAAACCACTAAATCTCACATCATCACTGCTCCCGACATCAATATGGAAGACCGCGGGGGCACTAGGATCCTCTTGCACCATCTTCCTGTGCCAGCGTCTTCTCCGCACCAGGTCCATTTTGCGCTCCTTGGCATGGAACTTCATGGTGAAGACTGGGGAATACTCCCAGCCTTCCAAGGCCAACTGTTCTGCTCTCAGCTGTATTGCAAACGAACAAGAGAAGAAATTCACAGTTAGACAAGAACTGAGTTGGTGCGTGGAGACAGACAGTGGAGACGATCGCGTTGTAGTAAGGTGGTAAACAGGCCAGTAAAAGGACTTGGATTGGTCAAATCAGAAGGCACACATCAAAAAACGCCCAAAAAGAGGCAATCAACCTTCACTTCAAGACGAAGCAATGATTCCTAGAGATGTTGGCCCGGCCTTGATAAGACCAACTTAACTTACGCAATACGAGGATGAAACTAGGAAACAAAAACTGTCTGGACTAAGAAATGGAATTTTTTCAAGTGTAGGTTCTAAGTAAAATACACAGAAAACAAGAAAAACAACTCAGGACAAGGTAAGAACCAGTAATAACTCAAACAGTGTTATGAATCCTACACCTGTATGTTGATTTATTTCTGAATCACTTTTTCGAATGCGTAACTTATCATTTCACCTGCTCCTGTTCCACTTTAGGACTCTTCACCACCACTCTGTTCCTGACCCATCTCCGTCGTCGACACAAGTGATATGTCTTTTCTACTGGTCCATAACCACCAAACGTGGCCTCTACTGTGTACTCATAACCTGAAATACAATGGCGCCAAAACATGCGACTTAATTATTCACATAATTGATGATCTCCACTCAATACGGAAACTTGTTAACGGCTGAATTGCTAAAAAAATATTTGAGTGTAGTAGGATTTTGAAGCATTTCTCTAGAAAACAAACATAATACTAATTTCTGTACCGTGAAGTTACTAGGAACATTGCTACTCTTCCTGGGTGGAGGAGGTAGCCTGGGACAGACTTGCATCCCCACTCCTCACGATGCCTAACAGTTTGCCCGTAAAAGAGCAAAAAGTTGAAAAGAAATAATGAACGCCACACAATCATCCTGGCCTGTTCAAATTCAGACAGCCTAATCATTTAATAAACGATAAGGAGGAAGAAAGAGAAGAGACATAACGTTCACTGCAAGATTAATAACAAATAACTGAAGACAAACAAAAACAATATATAACCATCTTCATCCACGGCTCTGTTCAAGTCCACTGCCCAGTCTGTGGTCCACTCCCAGTCTTCTGGACATACGATCTCATCCCTGGCTGTCACAGCATCACCACGCTAGAACAGAAATGATGGTTTACATGACTTTGCGGCCAAACGTCCATAAATGACATTTAGCAGGTACAAGAAAAGAATATAGAAACATAGTGAAGAGCTAACTCCGAGTGATATCTTAAGAAAATCAACCACCGCAACAACATTTAAACAGTTTTTTGTGTAGTTCCGTAAGAAAATAATTGAGAACATCCAGGGCCGTAGACAGAAAAAAATTATTATTGTGACAATGTCCATGGCTAAATTCTCTTCCTTGGTATCACGGGTGTTAATGATGACTACAAAAAAAACAAAACAAGACAAAACAAAACAAAACAAAAAAACAAACGAACGAAAACAATGACTGCATGAGACAAGCCTGTTACCAGCTACGGCCCTGACATTTAACTGCCGAAAAGGCAAGAGATTTGATCACAATAATTAAACAACAGTGACGTGCTTATGAGAGGAAAAAAAAAAAGTTTATTGAGGCAGGTCTCAAAGAGTGAATACACCATAGTGTGGTCAACAATACTCACCACATCTGTCCAGGGTACAGAGGAAGGTCCCCAGCTACCTCCTGGAAGACGAGACTCGTTTTCAAACACATCCTCAAGGAAGCTTTTGTGACCACTGTCTCGATCATACGTCATGCTGGTGGCAGAAATATGCGCATGTAATTTTTTTTTTTATCAGCTCACAGTTCTTTAAGGTAACGCTTTTAGTCGTTGCAATACATTAAAGACATAGCAAGGACTACTACGCTGAAATTAAAAAGCTGAGTGACTACGCGATGCCGTTTTAGCCAAAGACCCACATTTCACCCTTGCTCGCCATAGAGTGTCCAGTAGCTCAGTGGTAACAGCGTCCGGCAAGATCACGGAGGGTTGTAGGTTCAAATCCCATCTGGAACTCGGATTTTTTCCGAGTTTTCGGTTGATGCTATTTCTATCATCAAATAATCCTCCAATAAGAACTGATATATTCGAGTTTGGCCTGCAAGCGTTATGCGTCGTTGTAATAATTGTAGAACTACAGAGGCAATACTTCAACACCCTTAATTCACAACAAATCCAGTTCTGCGTATATGTTTCGTACATACACGTGTGGTGTTGCACCCTAAAAACCCAGATATTCAAAGCGAAATTAAGCTAGCCCGCAAGTAGGATTTTCTGAATTGTCTTTCCCGGCGTCTTGTAAAGTTTATCTCTTATATCTAAATTTTCCGTCCTCCAGGTTTGTCAAACTCCACAAAACATTAGCATAGAAATTAAAACCATCAATTTCTTAATCTAAATAAGTGATACTGAGCTTTTGTACGTACTCATACACGCAACGCGAGATTCTAACTTAGTACCTACAGTGCACATGTACATCTGCTTACAACCATTCTACTTTTCATTGTCCGTGTGTAGCACATGTTTGTAAACTCGAATTCCTTTAGAACTTAATAATTACCTGAGCTCGGGGTTCACAAACCAATCTCCCTCAAAATGCCAACCAGCAGGAGGAACAAAGTACTCTTTATACAATTTCACCTGAAATTAATTACTATGGGTGAATTTTTGTCACTTTTACTTAGGAAAAATACAACGCCTAACACTGACACAAGGCTACTCACCAAGGCCTTTAGACTTTCAGAAAAGTCCTTCGTCTTGTTTACGCTTCTCTCGCTTAGCTATTCTACTCTGAAATTCACAAGGTCGACTTGAAGTCTACAAGGCCTTCAGCGAAAGAGGAAAGACTGTTTTTCTACTTTCCACTACAATTTACAATTACATGACTAAATCTGACTAAACAATTGCTTTAAAAAAGATATATTCAACGATACCATTATTGCACTTTAGGTCTGCAAGACGTACTACATGATAGCAACTTTCTAACTAAAAAGGTCCCTTTTTGAAGTTCGTCTGTGCACATGAGCTCACATGTTTCATGTGTTCTAATGATCTTCAACACCAACTCATTGCTAAATCCTTCCTACCTACATATCCACGAATCCTCTTCAAACACTGCTTGTACATTTCTGCTTCAACTCCCAATCTTATCTGCCTAAATATCCTGTCTACACCGTTCACAAAGGAAGTTAGCCAATGCAAGCCATAAAGATATCACAAACAAAACTCAACGGAAATTTGAACCGAATCATTCTTACATCTCCTGTAGCATTTGACCAGGAAGGGCGGGGCAGTCCTTTGGAGGTCCAGGTACCGAGCACATTCATCTGATTCTCATACTAAATTGAAAGGGAACCAAATTATCAATACAAGATGACCAAAAGGGCACTATTTATAACGTAACTAATAACATAACGTAATTTATAACATAATGTTTCTCTCGTAGCTGATATTGAGATGGATACATCCCGCATATACTAACCACATAACTCAAACTTTAGGGTCCATACACAACGTATATGATGCTCACAACTCAGGGTCTAACAACATACACCATACTTTGACATGTTTGAGTATATACACACAATATATACTATGTACACTTTTAAGGCTGTTGACAACACTTGAATTCTTTCAAAATAAGGCACAAGTTAGTATTAAAAAGCAGCCGTTTTTATATTGCCACTGACACCCCAAACAAGGTCAATTGACGGAGGACCGAGCACAATCTGTGTGAATTATAACATCACAGTGGTTCAGACAGTAAGGTCAGAGATGGGACAACTCCTGCCATGTGTAGAGAGGGAGACAAGCGTTTTGAACATTGGTCTGTTATCAGGATAGTTGTCCAACCAAACAAAACATGACCACCTAAAAATCGAGAGTAGTAAGTAAGTAATGAACACACACCGTTTCAGCATAAACACAGAAGTCGCCCTCTGTTTGCTCCCTGTTGGTCCAGTCCTCTTGATGCTTCTCAAGGCCCAGCCAGATTATCATTCGAACATGAGCAGGCACTTCTGGAAAGTCTTCCAGGTTCATTTGCTTCTTACCTGGGTACTAGATGTAACAAGACAATAGCAAAAAATAAATGCTGTATATTTTGTGAAAAAAGCAAAAGATCAATGCAGAACTATCCTACACTCTGGTAAACGATGGCAACTTTGTCCTGTTAACCAGTTTGGAATACGATCGGGGTCTCTGTATTAGGATTAGTAGCAGCCAAAGGTGACTGCTTTACAAAAATTAATACGAACTTAACTACACACTGGTATTGTATTAACTAAGTATATTTAATTTTTGAAGTGTGCAAAACCGAACCAGAGCATGTACATGTACTACTTCTCAAACTCATTAATAATTCATCACGTCAAAACAAAGAAGATCACAACCGTGAAGGAGGTTTGGAAACCCGCTCTCAATTAACATACATTTTGACGATTTTACTTCTCCGTTTACTCCTTAGTTTTTGTTTCGATTGAGTGGAGACAGTGTTTCATCGGCTATCCAAACACCTCGATTTCGTCAAAAATACTCCGCTACGCGTCGTATTTTCAACTCTCTTTTCGTTGTTTGGATATCCCGATGAAACACTGTCTCTCGTGTTTGATGTATGAACGCCAAATTACCTTCATAAACATGTTGAAGACCTTGCCACAGTACTGACCACAAGCATCAGATTGTGGTGAGAACAGAACCTCGTAAGCTGGAATGCGGAAAGATGCAATTCGTTTGGTGCCACTGATCAACCAAATGACCACATCAGGCATGCTGTTCTGGGGCTAAAACGTTAAAAATGAAAACGTTTGTTCAAGAATGAGCACCTTATGTTCTGTTTAATGCCCACGAACAAACATCAGAGAAATTTGGCAGATAAATTAAATAAAAATCTGGCTACATTGCATCAACTTTGTGCACATTTTGGTAGACAATAGAATAACGTTCTTAAGGAAGACGTTCACTGCTACTTAAAGCGTAATAGTTTTCAAACATGACAATATAGCAAAACTAATAGAATGTGTGTAAATAGAGGCTAAAATGGGACACGTTATTTACAAAGACACACACAGAACGAAGAACTTAACTATGGCTTTGCAACTTTTGCACTGCGTCTGGTGAGCCACTTTTAATAACCCAATAGAACGATAATAAAGATGAAATGTTACCGAGTTACAGCTGCTGCAAAGAAGCGTGAACATACCTCAATAGCCATGTCTTTCAACCTCTGCATGTAACCCTCAATTTCTAACATAGCCTCTGCAACATCAGTCGCACTTTCACGAAGCTTGTTTGCCTCTTCCATGATGGCCAACTGTTAAAAACGAAAGACTTGTGATGTAAAACAAGAATAAAACTTAGTAACTGAGCAACCATACACTGTACGAATGACACATTGCATAGCAGGCGAAATAGACCATCAGTTATCCTGGAAGCTACTTATTGTTATGTAGTATAATCTACAAAACCTTTTCCATCATCCTCGTCTCCTGAATCTTCAAGTCCAGTTCATTCACACCAGGGGTAGAGCTGTCAATCTTTGGTAAAGGTTTCCTAATTATAAGCACATAAAATTTTTTTACACATTTTAATCCATCCCCGGGGAGCAGAAACTGTATGAAGTTGAAGTAGCTCGATATCCGGGAGTATGATCATTTGTGTAAATCGCACATTGACTAAAAGACGGACAGAGAATCACATAAATACGGCTGACCATTTTCTCCTTTGCACATTTGCAGTACACATTCATTCTCTGTTCAAATAACTTCGACGTGCATCACCATTACATTTTTAGGGAGTTACGTAACTACGACGCTGACGCTGAGGACAATTTCGATTTAAAAATGAATTTATATTTGACCAACGAATCTCGCGATATTCTAAAGTCATTTAGTTTGTTTCCCTTTGTCAAAACTTTCGAAATACAAATTTTAAAAATTATCCATCGTGGTTCACGTTCTCCACACAATGCAGAATTTGGTCATTTTACGTTGTTGTTTTACAGAGGACGGGAAAGAAATGTACCAAGAATTATAGAGCACGTGCACAGCTATTGTTCCGCTCATTAAACCTTTTGTTTCGCGACGTTCCCGTTGCCGTTTTCTTAAACTCCCTATTCTGACTGTTAAGCAGTGGGAAAATTAAATATCTCTGTTCACGTTATTCACACTGTAAGCGTGCAAACCTAAAAAAAAATAATAAAAAAAAACTTAACGCGTTCTTGTACAGTTGTTTACACATCTGGAAATCACATGCTATCACTAACCTGCAATCACTAATTAGTTGATCTAACAAGGATATGAGAAGTGAAGCGGTTTCAGCAGTCGGTGCATTAGCTTCTAAACTGAGCTGAACTTTTTCGATGTTCCTCTCCTGTTAGCAAGACGAAAATTAAACATTAGCCCCCGAAAAGCCAATCTTCCCCTCGCGTTGCAGTTCAAAGAACTTGATATTCAAAAGCCAGTCACACGACCCCACTCTGATTCATACTTACCAATCGTTCACATAGTCTGGTTAAGATATTCAAGTTGTCCAATCTGAAGGAAATATCTTCCCAGTGACTGTCCACACACACACAAGGTTTAGTGTCTCCCCATGGAAGGTAGTAATAGTAACAGCCATCATACACAGCGTTTGTGGGTGGAGTGGTCGACGAGGAAGGAGGCACTGACTGATCGAGCTTGTTACCATAATTTCCTTGTAGAAAAAAAACATTCATTAGTAAGGATAGCAACTGTAATACACAGAGCTCGAAATTTTCATTTTAGTGTAGCTACAGCTTCTTTAAGAAAAAGGCTAATGGACACTAAAGTCAGTACTAGTCGGGGTACATTTCAAGACTTCCTCAAAAGGATGTTGGCTACCATTATTGAGTCGTGTATCCCAAAGTCGGAAACAAGTTATCGTCTATGGCACAATCGTTTGTCTTTTTGTGACGTTTATAAGTGGTAACTGCCTGTCTTTGAAGAACGTCATTTATACAGCGTCCACACTGCCTAACATTTCTACGGTTAGGCCTACTGTCTACACTTATCAGGAATTAGAAAACACCGGCTTTTCGTTTTCGCGTGGATGGAAAACATTTTGAAAACGGCGCTTTTCAAAAACGATGACGTCACGATAATCATGTGTTCTCCCTGAGCGAGTTTTCCTCAAACACAACTCCAAAATAACCGGTAATTGTTGCGTCTTTAAATTCCTCCGGCGTAGCGTGCTCGGAAAACTTTTGGTGCGTTTTCAGAGTGAAACCAGCGTTTTCAAATTCCTCCGGCGTAGTGCGGATGGAGCCTTAGACAACCCAAGGATATCTAGGGAAGTCTTTTTTTTGTTGTTTATAGACCACCCACCTATGCTAACTTCGAATTCCACTGGTCCATCTGTTGATGATATCATGGACGCTTCCAAGAAGCACGCAAAGAGCTTGAACTTACGCCTGCGTAAGTATGGCTAGAGGATAGAGATGCAATACAACAAGATGGCAAACAGTCAAATAGAAGTACAAAGTACGTGATGATCACCGCAGTGTCATGTTTCTAACCACATGTATCCTTGAAAAAATTGTTTCCTATTTACTGAAGTTTGGATAGTAAAAAGAAATGTTCAAAATGTTCTTGTTTACGGTGGTCAATGCGCTTAGCCACACCTAGCTACAGTTGTAGTTCACAGTCATGCCACTTAAACTGAAAGAAACAAATATGTCAACTAAACATAATTGGTTTAAAAATCCCAACTGGCAGGAGGCAGACCAGTTGGCTATTTACAAGCATGACCAGGAGTTGAACTAGGGTCTACAGAAAAACAACTTCAGCTAGTGGTCCGGCGCCGTCACCACTCGGCAACGCTGCCTGCTCCTCCTGTAAAACCTTTGAATGGGCAAGAATAGTAATACCTCAGTACTATTACTGCACCTGCACACGAATAATCTCATGACTCTGAAGATCCTCAGCAGGTTCCTTTGATGAAGGTCCCAGTTTAGTTTCCAGCTCTACCAATACTCTCCCTCTGTAAGCAACTCCCTCACCCTAAAGTATGATAACATCAATTTTGCAAAATACACCAAACAAAAAGGGTATTGTAATAAACACTGACAGGATTGCACACTAAAATAGCCACAACCTTGGTCACAACGGTTGGAAAACGTTACCCTGCACACATTTTGCCCCTACCAACCCCTGTGCAATGTTGACAAAAGACTAATATTTAACACAAGTCTGCATTTTACCATTTTCCAACATTAAAAGGGGGAAAGGGCGTGATGTCACTTATTCTGTAGGTATTACGGTCATGATTTCGTGTTTTTTTGCACATTTCCAACACAATTTGTCCATGGTTGAAGCTCAGTTAAAAGACAAAAATTCTGTAGAGTGTGAAGTTGGGGTAACATCCACACTTTAAGCACAANAGTACACATCATGTCCTATATCTCTTAAGAGTATATGCAGTCTTAAGTTTTGTTTCCCTAAGACCCCAATGTTACCCTTAAAAAACAAGGAGTCCTAGGGAAACTAAGCTTATATTTCCCTGTGAAGCTACAATGAGTGACAGAAGTGTTGGAAAACATTTTTCGATTGTCTTAGACATATTTTCTCCCATACCTGGGTGCCCAGGGGTGTCAGAGAATTAATGCTATACGCTGATGCATTTGAAGGAGAATAAGGGGTAAGTACATGTACAAGTATTGAGAATAACCTTTTATAAATGTCTCGGCTACTTTTGTTGCCCACTGTAGCCATTAAATGATCACTGTTCACCCCTTAGTGTAAAACACTTCAGAGAATACAACATATGCTTACCATCATCACCCTGTCCTGAGATAGCAGATATTGGCATGTAAGCTGTACCAATACAGTCATCAGCTGTTAATCGATCCCTGAGATCAAATACAACATCATGGACATGGAAAATAAGCCACATTGACAATAGAACTTTTCATGGTTTCTGACACCATCTCACTTGTGGGGCAAACACAGAAAAAAATGCCGTAAATGTACAGGAAAAGTTAAACATTTGAATATCCCCATAAGTTCACAGTGATTGACGTTTAGAGTGTTTCATGAGTTACAAGGAACATAATCCACAGAAGATTTTGTTAATAAATTTGAAGATTTACTGTCAGGCAAGGAATTGCAATTCAAATTTTCATGAAAATGTGATCTATCAAATCTTTTACGTAGTAACTTTCATTTTTAATTTATAAATACCTAAGAACTCGAATATTTTCGGCGAGTTGTTTGACATTAGGTTCTCCATCTTTGCCATGCATTTCCTGTAATTTTTGCCATGTTTGCCCCCCAAATAACATGGTGTCAGAAACCATGAAAAGGTTTATTAGTGTCTACATATAAAAGTGTTGAATAAATTTTACCAGTTGCAAAATACGGCCTGAAAAACAGGACCTTGAGGTAAAGCTAACAATCTCAATATGAACTCACGAACATCTCACACTGATACAAATGCTATAAAATTAGTCCTATAGACTCCTAACATAGAGACCATGCAAAACCTTACCAGTCAAATATTTGTAGTTTGAGCCTTTCACACATGGATGGGAACTGTAAAAAAGATCAATAACACTAAGCCATGTTGTCAATGTTCCCTACATCTCACTTTCGTGACTCTGCCAATTACCATAAGGTATTATTGTTAACCAGAAAATCTATCTAAGTTTATTTGGGAAACTCACCTTGAATAGTACATTGAGTTCTGTGTTAAACTCAGGGTGATCTGAATTGTAATGTACTCTTGTCTTTGCCTGTGAAATAAGATTCACTCTCAACTTTAATGTACAGATAACCACAACATCCTAAGACAAGCCATTTGTAACAGCCTTCTCTTCTGTGAAGCACACAATTCCTGGACTCAGTAGGGAATTACCTCCTCCCTCTAACAACACCACTTCTCCCCAACACCATCCTCAATAAATCATGGATGTGCCTCTTTTTACTCAGTAAAATTTGTTTCATATCAAAAGTAAATTCAATTAAGGTGGCTGACAATAATTTCCACCTCTTCCTGTCCCTTTTACTTTGATGGTCAATACTACCATTCTTTGTCAATGATCCTACAATAATAGTACCACAAAAATGGCCAATCATTAGTAAACAAGGTATGGTTATTATTTTTATATATTAACAGGGAACCATACCAACAGTTCTCCCTGTTAATTTATTGACAGGAAATTAACAAAGTTTTAATTTTAGCTTTAAGTGCTTATACAGCTGTAGCTAAAAACGCAAGCTTGCTAAACCCCATACAATACAATTTGAACAGTGATAAGCATGATAAGGTGCATCTGTTTGCAAAGTTTCAAAACATTCTGTCTAGGGGGTTCAGAGCCACCTTAAATGTTCGAAACTAAATAATAATTATTTTCTAATAGTTATTTGCGTGACCAATTGTTCTCTAAAGTAACAAAAGAAAACAAGAACATAAACCAACAATGTTCACCTTTCGTCCAGCAAAATTAAAGACAAGATAGGGATCTACAAGTTCCTTTTGGTCCTACAAAAAAACAAAAAAAGAACAATCACATTGTTAAACTGATTGGGCAGATAGATCCAATACTGACCAGCAGTATTTGAAGTAATGTGGGCAGTTTCATTGGTTGCTCTCATTCATTTCTTCCAGTTGGCAATTTTGCATACCTTCTCTTACAGCCATGCATGTATGGTTGTGTCAGAATAAGCATTTATGATTCAACATTATTTCGACCCCCAAAGTACTGTAAGATTATCATGGTGCGCCAAAGGAACAAATGAATCCTTGCCCAGGTTGGATTCAACCATGATCCAAATCTTGGACCATATATCCTGTTCCAGATCCCTCCAAATTAAAAGGGAAGCAGCCATATGTTTTTTCACTGCACCCTACGACCTTAAAGGAACCAAATCTTAATTATGCTGATTATGTTGTAGCAAAATTAATGCAACTTACCTCTTTAACGTGAAAAATTTTTTTGACTCCTTCAAAGAACCCGGAGTCCACTAGGATAGATAACAACAAAATCCCAGTCAGCCTTACAATTTGCAAGAAACAAAGGATGAAAAAATTTTGTGGCAATGTTCATCCTTTTATCAATAAAAATACACAGTCAAATGCTAATTAAGGAATGGTTAAAAAAGGTCAGAATCAGGTTTTTAGCCAGGATTTGAAAAGTGGGCATCCACAATGTGCTATAGGGTCTGCTTGAATGAACAATTTATAAGGCAGCATATGAAAAATAAAATGATTTTCTTTAATAAGCGACCATCCACAGGACACCTTGGATGCCCATCTGGCTAAAAATCTGGTCAGAATACTACACTGTTTGGCATACATATACAGTCGAACCTGTATAAAATGGCCCTGTATTAAGTGGCCACCCTCTATTAAGCAGCCAGTTTTCAAAGTCCCGATTTTTCGCTCGACATGCAAATGCTGAATTTTTTACCTGTATTAGGTGACCACCTCTATTAAGCGGCCACAGCCACTCTGTAGGAGTCCTATGTTTGTCTTTCCTTGTTATTTTACCTGTAGTAAGTGGCCACCCTTGAATATAAACTAAGCCACATGTAATTTTATGCAGTATTTTATTGTGTTTAAAATGCGATCCTTTATCACTATAAATAAGTAATATGTATAAAGCTACTGTAAGTTGATAATCAACTGTTTAGTGTCATTAACGCTTTCCAGATGTCCTCAATGTGCTGAAGTACAGTACCATATCATGAGACCACGCCCAGTGAGTACTTTTAGTGATCCTGTTTTAAGCGGCCACTTGTATTAAGAGGCCAGTTCCTCAAGTCCCAAGGGTGGCTGTTATATACAGGTTTGACTGTATAGCAAATTGCGAGTGCAATTTAAAAGAATATTCAAACATCATGAGAAGTGTAATTCCTTAATAGCTTGAGTATTCATATGATTACTCACTTATCACATGACTGAGAAATTACAGATGCTTTAATTTGCAATGCAGTGCAAATTAAAAAAAAAAAAAATTGGCCTGCTCTCAGCCAGTCACAATGAAAAAATTTTCTCCATCATATACTTAAGAGTTTAACCATCTTTGGAAACCTTGCAAAACCTTTATGCAAACAAAAACATCTGATAATGCAGTACTCACTTTGAGGGATATCTTCAGCTCTGTATACTTTCAGTGAGAAGACGGCTGGGCGCAGCATCACACCTGAAGGCTGCAGCAAATTTCTGAAACAATCATGCATAAGTGCGGTTGTTTAAAAACATGTATTGAATTTACAATGCCTAGACCTGGAATCCCAGATATATGAGGAAAGTGTTTGTTACAATAACAAAATATGTATTTAAATAGACCAGTTGACTGACTGACTTCATGCCTGTTTTGATAGCACAATACAATTGACTGAGACTTCTGTTGTTATTCTGCTGAGGTTGGATACTCCTGTAATCCTAGTCCACTGCAGGTTATCCTCAGCTTTATCTTAGTTTGTCCCAACACACAATAAATGACAAAAGAGAGGCATCATGAGCAAATAAAACCACAACACAGGACAATATCCAGATTCTTTAGATCCAGAGTATATGCAAAAGCAATTGCTCCACCATGCCTCCAACATGAGTATGCATTTGACAAGGTATTAAATTACAAAAATTATGCCATGAAGTCACCCACAGTTGTACATGTCCAAAAGTTTACTAGACACTTAAAAGTACTCACGACTCAATGTCATCAGTGTCATCCTCAGTTACACTTTTCGAGGTAGACTACCAAAAAAAATAACAATCATTATTTTTAATCCAAGGAGAGGTTGTATTGTATGTGCCTGGATAAGACAACTGNCATAGGATGTATATCTGTAGCTCTACCAGTTATTACCCAATGTATGCTGTATTAAAGCTAAAACTATAAACAACACCACAACTCTACCTGGTTGCAAATTCAGCAAACACCACAAGCTTGTTATTATAAGAAAATACCAGAACAACATCGTAAGAGGCCCACATGTAGTCATGCCATACAGCATCTGTCTGTGAGTAGTTTACCATATACTGATTCTATACTGATGGCAATTACAGCTACAATGTATGCATCTTGATAAGTTAAATGATGAATAAAAGACTTCAATCATCAATTTTATATTTTATGTCCACACCTGAAAATCCTGGGGTTTATTTGACAACTTGTGCCTTGCAGTTCTCCTTCTCCTGCGCTTTTTTCTGTCAAAAGAATTAAAGAAAATATTTATTACTGAATACTTGAAATCAATTGAATCTGAATTATAATATATAAATCAGTGATTAAAACCACTTGGAATAATGTTCCTGTTACCCTGGCCCCAAGCTGCATGTTGGTTGAATTACTTGCCTGATTTTAACCAAAGTTATGAAACTACAGGGGTTCAGTGGTTGCACCATTATAAAATATTTATCACATGGTGCTAATTAATCTAAAGCAATGCTTTTGAAATGCATACATTTCCATTCCCACCAATGTTTAAAAGAGGCTGACATCTTTCATCTTTCTTTTTGCATCTGACATCTTAACACTGACATCTTATGGATGAAAGTGCACAAAGAGATGCATCTGCTCTCTTTCCTCCCACTAATGTGATGCTCCAGAAAATATCTATACCTTCCTCATGGAAGGGATTTTGTCTAGGACCCCCCTGACCACACCGCTCTGGAAACTCCAATTAAGCTTGAGTTCATACATTTCTTTAGAGTTTTTGGTATTATGGTACTCCTCTCAGCCCCAGGAAATTCCAGTCCGTTCTGTGGGGGGAGTATATGTATGGTCCATATTTTCTGTAACTGTGCACTGAACTATCCCAAAGGTAATTGTCAAACAATTAAATTATAAATTCAAGGCTCAAGCTGCCTAGAAGATGAGACGCAGCTAACATACACTGTACAGGTACTTATAGGAAGTCTGATCATTAGTTTTTTAAAAAATCCATGAAAACAACAATTCAGTTACCTGACTGCCTCACTCACACCCGCAGCACCACCTCCCTCCAACTCGTCCATGCCTCCCTCTTCTTCTTCCAGTCCAAATTCATCATCTAGTTCTGCACCCAAATCAGTTTCATCCGTTGCTGTTATTTCCCCCTCCACACTCTTGCCTGGTTTGGGAGGAATATACTCCAAGCGGAGAGACAGCTTGGCCTGTGTAAAAGTACAACACCAAAAAATAAAAAAAGTGCAGGTTGTAGGAGTTCCTCGTGGTTCTGATGACTGGCAATATTCATTATAACAAGCAAGCTATTTGGACTTGTAACCAACTGGACTCTCTTTTGCTAGACAGTGCTACTATACTCTCACTATTTAAATGCCCCTCTCAAGAATGAACAATACTTAAAATGGAGTTAACACATATTAGGTAACTATTACATACACGCAAACTCAAACTAATAAGCCATGCTACATGTATAGTCTTAGATAGGAATTATTTAACAAAACAATTAGCCCTAATAATTGTCCCAGAATATACCAATATGGGAGTTCAAGACTTCCTTTAAGCATTCTATTAAAGACGACAGGAAGGAAATCCAGGTACATAACAACTGACACAGCTTAAAATCTTTATGCATCCTCTGGTAAGAATAAACCTAAGATATCTAACATTGCTAAGCAACTTACAGCTATACTGACCTGTGTCATTCTGTTACTGCCATCCAAAAGATTGACATCAGCTTGCATGGTATGACTGCTATCCTTTACAAGGTCTTTCAGGGGGACGGTGGCTGTGCCAAGTAGCCTTTAAAAGAAACAAATTATTATATCCCTGGGAGCTCTAAATCTAATGAGGATTGCATCTAACGAAGCATACCAAATGAAATCCAACACTCCATACTTCCAGAAAATTTACTTATTAGCCAAGCACATTCTTTCAGAAACATACTGTAAGCCATAAAACTACCAGAAAATCTTCAAAAGTGACTTGCGGGATCATTATGGATAGTGCCTGGTCTAATACTTTTGAGAATATTGGACCAGCACTCAGGGATCCATATTGGTTTCTTCACCAAGTCGTCATGCCAGATGACATACTTGCCCAGGCAAAATTTTACTTGCCTGTTCAATGGGAAAGAATGGCAACAGAAGGGCATGTAAATGGAAAGTTTGCTTAGTTCCTTGCCCCCAAGTGGAGGATAGGGCCGGAATGGAAAGTTTTCTTTTTTATTGTTGTCATGTGACCAATCTCCCAGTGCATCACGTCTGTAGTTGCAGCTGTTGGCAGGCACCAAAGGTATAAATGAAAACCAAGGACTCCGCCACTGGCATGAAGGCTGAATGAAATGCTTTTGTTCTTCTTGCTCATATTTGGCTTGTTTTTCCGAGGTGTTAATATTGCTAAACGTCATGTCCCGAAAGAGATCAAAACAGCTGATGCAATCATGCCACCTGTTTTCATGGACAGTACAGAGCATCAGCAGTTGACAAAATGAAAATTGAGCCTGCAGTGATTTCAATCCTGGAGAAAGTAGGCACCTTAAGATACCAGGATGGGATGAGCTAAGGACGGCTACCGGAAGAAAATTTACTCAACCGGGCATGCGCACAAGAACTCTCAACTCATCTCTGCTGTCCTCATCTCGTCGAGGACACCATTTTGTCCGACTAGCCGTTGTATCGAAAACGCGAGTATTTTGCTCTTGTTTTGCCCTGACAAATGTTCCAGTCAATCTTATTTTCACTTATATGATAAAAATNCCAAAGTGACAGGATTTACATTTATATGAAAAGAAAAATTATGAGCAAATTAAATATTCATTTGAAACTTGTTTTGGCATCCTATCAAGTCTGGTTATTATGGCAAAAATTGTGAGAGTTTTTTGAAGAAAATAAGCATTTTGACACCTGTCACATTATATTTTATTCAAACAGAATATTAATTTTAATCTTACACAACGAGTCTTGGAACAAATTAGTGCAATATTGTTTTCTTTTCCAATATATCGGCAATTTTCTAGCAAAAGAGATTTTAAAAAGTATCATTTTGACAATTTTAACAACGTGTTCTTCTTCGTAAAAGTTTTGTTAATTATGATCTGTGGTTTATGAACGGGTCATACATATGTCAATTGATAACAGCAAAATATGCGAGGGTACAATCATCTTGAAAGCTGGTCAGTTTGAATGATGTACGCTAATTCATAAAAATAGCAATCAAAATTTGTCGCGAAAAAGGTTTAGGGTCTTTTGAACGACAATCAAAAAAAAAATTGTTACCGCTGATGTGATAATTCCGAATTAAAAATTCAGAGAATTTAAAGACATCGGCGGCATAAATAATACAAAACTGAAAATATGCTAATTTTAAGTCTTGTTGCATGACGGAAAAGCAAATCGCCTAGGAGATAGATTTAAAAGACTGAAAAAACTAAGACCGTGATTAAGTCGACAGTGAATGGCAAAATACTCCAAAGTTTAATGTTTAAACCATCGCTCAAGACCGAATAGTTAACCCAAATTTGTTTGAGTTATGAAGACCATGACTTAACGTTAAATTTTAACCCTTTTAGCCAGATAAGTAACTTGTAAATTTATTCGATTTTTGCCTTGTTTGCAAACAGTGCGAATTACACAGGAAGAACTTGCCATGTTTATCTCGCTAAAATAAAATTATGACTGAAGAACAGCGCGCTGCCCTTACAGCAACACAAACCTTCTAACAAAGTCACTGTTAGCTTAAAATAGTTTTAAAAATCGAAAAATTCTTCGTCTCACGCAATCCCATAACCTCCCCAGCGGCGCGGGTTTTTCCGCGAAGTATTCGTCTATAAATAGAAACAATGGTTTAAAGTGGCTCGTCCCTTCTTTGGCTTCTTGTGGCATTAATCCCCTTTGTAGCGATTGTTTTGGCCGGAAAATAGACACAAACAAAATAAACGCAACTACACCCTAAAATCGCGACATCGACCTATACCACTTCTGTTTGTGATCGATGCAAAAACTGACTCGCTAAGACGATTTGCTGTTCAAGCCGACTTCGAACAACAGCAAGGATTTTCATAAAACTACAAGCTTCAAATGAAGATTTGTCGCAATACACAAAGCCCAAGATTTTTACCAGTTAATATACTATCTTTATCTAAATTAATATAGATCACAAAATATCGAAGTCGGTTAAATTTTTCACTGAAATACATACGTTAAATATACCGAAGATAATATCAAATTAGCTCAGAGAGGTTCGGTAAAGTTTAGGGTACCCAAATAGCTGTAAAATTACAATTGCAACGCCCAGCGATGTCATTCGATAACATAAAAGAAAAACGGAAGAACCACAAAAACTAAATTAGAAGTAAGCTTACAGGAATAGAGTTTGAATGATGTTATAAATTACGAGCTTACCGATTCCTGCCAATACGCTCCCAATCTTTGACATGAACTACTAAATTTTCCTCCACAGAAAGCGCCTGTGTGCCTAAATCCCATTCGAATTTCTAGAGAAGATAAGCAAAAAAATATTTTCAGAGTCTGTAAAAAAATTTTGCCCTTGAGGAAAAGCCTGTAAACCATTAAGACTAAGCTAACTATAAATGACATATTAGCGGTTCTGCCGCGCGTAGAGTAAACGAAATGGCTAGCCGAGGATTG